TGTACCAAGGACATACTTATCTATGGGAAGCTAAGAAACGGTGCCTTGTAGCTAGCTAATTTTGAGCCACCACGCCACATGTAGCTGCTTTACATTCTACTAGTTCCCAAAGAAATAGCTAGCGTTGGCTCCTATAACTGAAAGTTTGGCCCCCAGTTAGCCCCCCCCCCAGATTTTTAAGGCTAGAATTGCCACTGCTTTCGACACGGTTAACTACAAAATTTTACTAGACAAACTCAACCACTATGGTATAAGAGCAAATCCTTTAAACTGGTTTCAATCGTACTTATCAAATAGAACACAAAAAGTTTGCATAAATGGGATTTTATTTGAACCCCAAATTATCACACATGGTGTACCCCAAGGACTTTTGCCTTGAAGCCAAAAGACCTTTGGAAACAAATTAAGCGATCATATCCTTCAAATAAGAAAAGTCCAACATCTAATGTGTTTCGAGTTGAAGGTTAACTTGTTTCTGATAAAAAGAAGATATCAAACGGATTCTGTTCCTTTTTCACCCAACATTGGGTCTTCCCTCCAAAGAGATGCCTCTACGTTGAATAGTAAAACTTGGCAATTTTTCAATGGAAAACCAACTTCTACACAGATCAATCCGGAATGCAACGTATTCAAGTTCAGGACTATAGAACTGAATGAGATAACAACAGCCTTAAGATCAATAAAGGTTTCCAAATCTGCTGGCCCAGATAACCTACCTGCACAACTTATAAGGGATGGTGCAGAACAGATCGCGGCAATTTTATACTTTCTAGCAAATCAAAGTCTTCGATCAGGATCTTTTCCGAACAGCGAGAAATGTGCAAGACTGACTCCAAATTATAAATCTGGTGAAAGGTCCAACTTTGATAACTACAGGTCTATTTCTGTATTAAACATCCTATCTAAAGTGCTAGAGAGACTTGTTCATCGACAACTCTCAGAGTACCTAGAACGTAACAACCTCCTTTCTTGCAGTCAGTTTGGGTTTCGACGAGAACGATCAACGCAGCATGCAGTAACTCTTTTCACTGAACATATCCGAAATAACATGGAACAGGGTCGCTGCACAGGCGCATTATTTATGGACTTTCGTAAAGCTTTCGATACTGTCCATCATGGAACACTGCTTGAAAAGTTAAGATGTTATGGCATACAAAATACAGAGCTTGCTTGGTTTGAAGACTTTTTGTCAACAGAAAGCAGTTTGTCTGCTACGATCAATCAACATCACAAACTGAGCAAATGACATATGGGGTTCAATCCTTGGGCCTCTCCTATCCATCATTTTGATCAATGATGTTCATTTGGTATTGGACAAATGCAAAATTCTTATGTATGCAGATGACACAGTGATATTCTTCTCGAAAAGATCGGTAGAGGCTGTTGAAGAAGTCCTGAATCAAGAGGCAAACTTAATTGGTAAATGGTTTGCGAACAATAATCTAATACTGAATCTCAAAAAAGGCAAAACTGAACTCGTTATCTACGGTACAAGTCAAAAACTAGCGAAACAATCGTCATGTAATGTCTCTCTGAATGGCACTCCGATAAACCAAACTACGAGCTATGAATATCTGGGAATCACCCTTGACAGTCACCTAACAATGAGTATGCAAATTGACAAGATCTACAAGCGAGCCTCAAGTCGGGTAAAACTCCTGCAAAGACTTCGTCCCAACATCTCTTCACTTGTTGTGGAGAAACTATATAGGGTTATGATAAGGCCTGTGCTACTCTACTGCTATCCCATTTATCTAAGCGTAGGTGAAAGTGCCAAGAAAAAGCTGCAGTCAATCCAAGACAGAGCCCATAAGATCATAGCTCCTACTAAGAACACGGCCCTGAAGATGGACACATTGGATCAAATCCTGAAAAAACGAGTATCGATCGACGTGTTCAAGTCCTTAAATGATTCTTGCCCTCCTCCACTGCAAAACATGTTTCAGCGTTTTAATCATGGCAAGGATACACGATGAAACGGCTCAAGTCTTATACTGCCAAGAGTCAAAACAGAAGCAGGAAGAAAAACGTTTGCCTTTCAAGGAGCACTAATTTTTAATGGATTGTCATCCGACCTTCAGACCGAATCTTTCTTTGTAAACTTTAAACGCAAAATAGCTTATCTAAGCTTTGCACGATAATCGTATAGTATTTTAAATTTTTTACTTTGTCAAAAGTTTCTTTAAACAGGACCCTTATTGATAGCAGTACTTTACTTGTACTGAAAAGGCGTATCCTGTATAAACATGTATTACTATTATAATGGATATTGTTGTAGGATGTTGTATATTACAGTTTGAGCTATGTTTAACAAACGGAAAACGCGACAAATAAAATAATTCAGCAACAAATTCATCAAAGGAAGAAAATGGACGTAGTGGTTTGGAAAACGGGATCAAGTTAAAGCAAAGGGAATGAAGATACTGGGTGGGAAGGTTCTTACTCCTAAAATACAGGAAAAGGTTTGATTTATGAATCATTAACAACTTTCTATTCTCTGTCCTTCATCCTTTTCGATTGAAATTTGGCTAGGGTAGGAAGGTTGCTTGGGCATTTTTTATTGTTTGCTTTTCTTTTATCATCTTATCAAGATAAAATAAGGTAGTTCCTTATTTTATCTTGGTCTTATGGGTTCAGCATACACTTGGGTTTGCTTGCAATTGCATATCTTCAGACATTGCTATCTCATATCTTCCTTGCAAAAATGATTTATACAATGACACATTAAATTTCTCTTGCGACCCTCCATATCTTGGAAACACCTCTGCGCACGCCCAATCAACATCCAGATTCAAAATCTACGCCCAAAACTGCCCCAAAATTATCATTATCCAATAATTTGTCCTCTCGGGGGGGGAGGGGGGCGCAATGCTCCCTATTCAGCAACTGGTCCAAGTGCAATGGTTTTAAGGCCGAGGTTGTAAACTTCTATGTCACAGTATCACGTGATACGTTTCCCGCCAAAATTTACATAAGCGTTTTGGGGGTCTTACATACCCCAGATCGTGGCAATATTTTGCAGACATGTTTAGATAGCTTTTACCTACAATTATCAAGAGAAAGAATTTGGCGGCAAATGTCATGTATCAGAGCAAAACAATTCAGACATTTTATATAATGTTGTGAGAATCAAATCTAACTGTGTTATGTTATCTAAAAAAACCTTCCTTCAGTATCTGACAGTTGGTGCTGTTGTTGTTGTAAATTTATTTCAATTCGATAGAAGAAACAATAGCTAACAATATATACATAAATATACAATATTAACTAATCAAAATCGAATATGGCTACCAGTTAGTACATAAAAAGAAATTATGGATACAAAATTAAAGATTACATTGCATTTTCTGGCAGAAACAGACAGGCACTGCATTTGCAATTCGGTCCTTCCCATTGTTTTATTAGATTCTTAGGGGCCCTTTACATGAGACCCAAAATGAACTCATGCCGCATGAGTTCGTGCCGGTGTCATATGCGTTTCGGTAACCTTATGCATTTCGGTCCGGGTACTCAAACGCATGGCAATTTTGGTTATGCAAAATCGTACCCAAGCACTTAAACAATAGGGTACCAAAACGAATGGTGGAATTTAGCATGCAAAACGGTTCAGGTACACAAACGCATGGCAATTTTGTTTATACAAAACGTACCCAAGCACTTAAACAATAGGGTACCAAAACGAACTTGGAATTTGGCATGCAAAACGGTCCTGGTACAGAAACCCATAACAATTTTGCTTATACAAAAACGCCCCAATCTTTTAAAAAACCGGGAACTGAAACAAATGGTGGAATTTAGCATGCGACCTGGTCTGGGAACACAAATGTTCTGATTCATAATGTTCAGAATGTAAAGAACAATCGAACTATTTCTAACAAGGGGGTACTAACAAGAAGCGGTGCTGTGATTTCTCTTGTTAAGTTTATGCAAAAAAGTACAACATTAATGGCGACTCCAAAGTTTTCTTGATTAAAAAGTGTGAAATTTTGAACAAAAAAAGCATTGTGTTCTATTTGTTAATTATAATGTGTCATTATATCGAACTACGATGAAATCACTTGATTTGAAACACATTGCGTTTCACAATGTTACACTTTTGCATAGGGTACCAAAACGCATATGACACCGGCATGAAAATTCGGTGAAATTTGCTCGCCGTTACATGAAACCCGACACGAAACTGTCGCATACTTTCGCATGATAGGTTCTTAACTCTTCATACCATGTAATATTTCTAATAATTTAAAAGACTCACACATCTGCTTGTTTTACTGTTAGTGAAGAAATTCTAATTACCGCTTTCATGCCGGCATGAGTTTCATTTCGGTCAACGCCATGTAATCACAACTGTAGCTCAGACCAGCACCCGACATGAAACTCGTGCCGGCATGAAAACTCGTGCCGGCATGAGTTTCGTTTCGGGTCTCATGTAAAGGGCCCCTTAGAGCTTTTCAAATTTTCTGCGGATTTCAACTCATTGGGTGGGCCATTCCAAATCTGTGAGCCGATTGACTTAAGACTTCTGGATCCAAATGTTGTTTGATTAGTTCTAGCATGGGCTAAGTTATTCGGAGCTCCTGAAATAGTAAACATGAATAAATTGAATGTTAGAGTTTAAATGCAAGTTAACATTAAAAACAGGTTAAAATTTTAATTTCAGAATTTATAATCATGTTTAGCACCTAAAGCCAAGTCTTCTTCAAAACATGTCTCTAGAAAGTTCTGAAAATTATTCTTTTGCAAATTATTAAAAGTTTTATGCCCACCAAAGGCTTTTCTTTATATTTTCACAATAGCTGAAAACACTTTTCTTAAGGGAACTGATCTAACCCTTACTTAAATTGGGTACCTTGCTGTGGTGCCGAAAATCCTGTTTATTTTCTTTCCCAAGAACATGACCAACTCTTCAGTATTGGCTTTGTCACTGGAGATCAGTGGGTATTCTTCCCCTCTCTTGGGTCTCTGAGAACGAGGCTGATCTAGTGATCAATGGTTGACGCCCATTGAATGAGTTGGGCCTGGAAGCGAGTTCAGAACGCGCGGAAAGCAAGGAGCCTTTCTGTACCTAAGCAGGGGGAAGTGATTCAATGTCAGAAAGTGTGTTTTTTTAAGAAATCGAGGGAATTTAGAAATATTGTCTATTTTAAAGTAAAATGGAAAGTACACCGACTCTTTCGTCGACAAGGCCCGCTGCCAAAGTCACTCCTGCAAGTTTGCCAAGGGCACCATCACCAACAATGCGGAGCCGATTAGAAGAAAAGGAAGAACTGCAGAACTTAAACGACAGGTTAGCCGTGTACATCGATAGAATGAGATCATTGGAGGAGAAAAACAGTTCGCTTACTGAAGAATTTGCTTCGTTGGAAGAGAAAAAGCAAAGCGAATTCGTCGAGGTAAAGAGCATGTACGAGAGTGAGCTAAACAATGCCCGACAGCTTTTGGATGAAATATGCAAGGAAAAATCTAAGATTGAGTTGGAAAACGCAAGAAATCTAGCGCAAGCCAGTGACCTCAAAAAAAGGTATGAATGTTAATATTTTGGTGTATTATGTAACGTCCTTTTAACAAGTAATAGAAGTTTCACTCTGTTGATTTGCGGTCAATGCAAATCATGCATACTGACAAACAACAAGTAAATCTCTAAACAAATGATTTACTAAAAGAGCATGGCACATACATTCCTCCTGAGGCGTCTGTAGTGTCATATGTCTGTACTTTGCATTTCAATTCCATTCATCAATTTTCATCACTTAACTACAACAATTTACAAGATACCAACCAAGAATAGAAAGAACTTAAGAAAATCAAACTTTGCAATTAAACAACTAAAAATTTTCAAAAGAGAGAATTGATATTATTGGAAGAAGGAATGAATGATTAAAGGGATCTCTCCATATAGGTTTACTTATCAAGAGAGAGGCCTAATCCCCAGGGCTGGAGTCCATGTCACCCCTTAGCCAGATTTACAACTAAGAAATACCTATACCTATTTAATATAAACAATACAGTCATTATGATTAATATAATCAATTTGAAATGGTTATGAATAGGAATTGATGGAGTGTGTCTTTAACTTTGATTGAAAAGCTAAAGCTGAGATACCAACCCAGACAGAAAACTGGTAAGTATTCCAGAAATTTTGGACTGTCTGTAAACCATATGCATCAGTGTTTTTTAATGATTTGAATAGGTCCCCCTCATTGCTTGATGATTCCTAATTCTCTGAACCAAAAAGATATGTTAAACTCAAAACCAAAAATTTTGCAGAAAATATATTTTGTATTGATAGAAGTTGGGGTGACATGGCCCCTGGCCCCTTGTTGTTGACAAGCCTTATGAAGAGCAAAAAGCAGCTGCTTAAAAAACTAAGCAACTTCAACTTTCTTTCAAGATTGAGCTTGATAGTGCTCGATTGAGCATCATAAAATGTCATCCATAGCAAAATTTTGTTTTTTCTCATCTAGTTTTTAAACAGCATAAACACGCTAGGTGCTTGATCAATAAGCTCCTAGAACTTTCTAGGCACTTGCTGAGGTGCTTGATATAGCTCGAGCGCCTCTTTTTGCAAGACCTGGTTGTTGGGGCCCTAGGTAAGAGTGTGAATCGCATGCATGAATCAAATTATGTGTGTGATTTACCAATTCGCTTATGATGAATACTGCAGATGCCAGATGCTGCACTAAAGTGTATGTTAATACGCAGCTCCTGTGGCATTCTCTGTAGTAACCAGATCTGGGTTTCACCTCAAGGTTGGTATGATTATCGTCCTGAGAATCTTTGCTAAACTTTGTTGCGGTCTCCTAATATATATAACTAATATGTTACTATGCAAATCAGGCTATATTGATTAAGAGTCTTGGCAGACGCTAACCGGGAACATCTCTCGACCGATTTTCCCAATTTTTGCCAGCGGGTCCCTGTGGTAATGAGCCTTCCACAAAATGTCTTCGATTTTCGATTTTTGCCTTAGTTCTTTTGATATATTGCTTTTTATTTGAAGGCTAATTTTCAATAGATGACTTACAAGCTGGCTTTGTCCGTCCCGAACGGATCATTAATTGCAATTATCAAAGTTTTGCAATCAGTCAAGGATTTTTGAGGTTGTTTTTTGTCCTCGTGTCTTTGTGTATCTATGCTTTCTGTGCCTTTTTTTAATAACAACCATTCCCCATTGTTGATGTTCTTTCAAATAGCAATTTCAAAATCCAAAATATAACAACTGTTTTTCAAGTATTTATGGCTGTTTTTCAAATAGCAATTTCAAATCCTATACAGAACAACTGTCTTTCACATAGTTACGGCCATTTCTCATATACGGCCAGAAAGGAAAAATTTCCAACTAATAAACATTGTGTTTTGTGTTCAGCACCAATGCAGTTACCATATTTTTCCAGTCTGAGTTGAACAATGTTTACAATCTTGTCACAATAGATAGCTCCAACTGTCTTGAATTTCTATACACATATGTTATAATTGAAGATTTCATCTAAAACTATCAAGCTGTTAACTGCAATTTCTGCACAAAAAGGAAACCCCAAACAATGGGTGCTCCTTGCCGTGGTGTTTGGGCTTCCTCACTAATGCACCCGGCAAACATCTTAAGCTCAGAGAGGGGAAGTTTTATAAATAAGGTTTCTGAAATTTCAAACTATTGTGGTTTACAATAAACAAGATTTCTGGACTGTGAATACACATTCTTAACAATCTCAACCAAAACAAGGCTTTATTTCTTTCTCTGAGCTCTTGATTTATTTTCTATTTCATCATCTTTGTTCAAATTTATCAATACTCAATGATAAAAAGTTACAACCATGGTATGAAACAATTATAATAGATAATAGCAACAACTTTCAAGTACACTGAAGAAAGTTCTATAGTTCATGATGGATTCATATTAAACATGAGAGCTCTAGGCCATGGAGGAATCGGCCTAGGAAATATTTCATCGAGACCCATTAGTCAACAAGAACCAAAATTGTATGGTTAGAAAAATTTATCATTTGATTGTAAATAAATAGAAGAACTCCTTGGAGTAACCTCCAGAAAATTTGTCCAAGAGATAAATGAATTGGTTGCGGCAAACAGAAATATGTTGTTGTTGAGCTTTAAAGTACATTTCACAATGAAGAACTATTGCTAGGAAGGGGGAGCATCTACTGCCTTTCTATTTAAGGGGAGCATTTACCTCCTTTCTATTTAAGAGGACCCCCTTCCTAGGGATAGTCATAGGAGTTCAAATTTAATGCGCACAAGAGTGCAAGCAATTTTTTTATCACGTGACCTGTGCGAAGCCAGTTTTTTTAATAGAAGTTAATACACCTGTTGTCTTTTCCGAGGCTAATCTATGTACCCTACTGTAGGGCCACTGGCAAGCCCGTGTAGCAGGCTTCATAGGGTATCTATTTGGTGCAAATTGTCGAAGGTATGCAATCATCATCTCATGCGCAAAAGAAAGAAGTTGCCATGAAATTTTGTAGAATTGCTTATATTTCGAAGATTTCTAAAGCAGGGGCAAAATTCAAAGATATCTCTATCAGATATAACAACAGCATCACAAAGTAGTTATGACAAGATTGCTTAACTTAACAGTTTTATAACCAAGGGAGTGCCAAGGGGGAGTAATCTGCAATCTACACCTAGAAAACAATATTGCAATCAATATGGATTGAAGGAGAATGGCTACTAAGCTCTATCTTTCGAAGAGCATTAAATGAAAGCTTGAAAGCTTGGCAACAGTATATAAAAAAACTTAAGCTAGAGAATGAAGAAGAAAGTTTTGAAGACTGTTTATTTATTAATTAAACTGTTTTTGAACCATTTTTAAGATTAAGGGCAACTGTAAAAACTTGTTTGTGTGCTCAAAAAATGTGCTCATTTCGACCTTTGTCTCATTTCTCTACCCATTCCTTCTCATTCAATTGTCCCTCGAATTTCATATTATCCTGAAAGGAACGCTGATCAAATGGTAATCCGCTACGATATCCACTATGATATCCTGCTACGTTAACTATGATACTGAAGTCTGTGATGCTGCTTGGTAATTTCACGATAGATGGTAGGGTCTATGAGCAATTGAATTTGTTTTCAATCCAGATATCTTTATTACAAAATGATTCTATAATTACTTAATCCTAGAAATTTTTTTGACTAATCTATTTTAACATCTTTAGAGAAAAATCAAGGACAATTTATCTGTCAAATTCCTTGATTTCTGGTTAGTTTATTACACAAAAGGTCTCCTTGAAAGCAGCACGCAGTTTATGACAACAGGAATGAGAAATGATTGATAAAAAAACTGTTCACATCATACATGCAAAGTAATTGAAATGTGTGAAACACCGCACACAGCCTATTTTCGTAATACAAAGACTGCATCATATAACCTGTGTGAACAATATCATATAATGGTGACAGGTAAGATAAAAATATCACTGGCTCTGAACAAATTCCCTTTGGCATGCCATACCCAACATTAGATTATCTCACAGCACATCTTTACAATGATGTACAGCACATCTGGTGATTAAGGATGTACAGCACATCTTTAATCAAAATCATTTTATTGCAGTTTTAAAAAAGATATAACTAAAACCACTCACTGACTTGACCACACATCTTTAATTATGTTTAAGGATTTTCATATCCAAGGTTTTAAAGTTGGCACAAAAATCAAGCAGCACTGACAGGGACACCCTCTGGTTTTCCATATTTATCAAAATATATGTTGTTTTTTAATATTTCCTACACTGTGTCACTGCCGTAGACTCTTCCACCACCTTGAATGACAAATAACTGACTGGTTTGTGATTTTTAAATAAGAGATCATGATCATTTTTAAATAAGAGAACATGAGCATAAGTTGAACTACATGAGAAATTCTCCATTTGAATGGTACATTTTCTGCAGTGATATGTTTATTATTTTTGTAAGACATGGCAGCAGAATTTTCAAATAGTGACTTTTTATTTGATGTTGGTACTGGATCTAACTGAAATTGTTTGGACGCGCATTTCGATAAATCTTCATTACATAAGCTTCAAAACAATTATATATAAGCTTCATTACATGTTCACTGTTTACTAGTATAACAAAGAATCTCACCGTCAGTATATTTTTTCTTCTTTATATTCCAATAAAAATTTACAATACAAATTTACTAGTTATACTACTTTGCAACAGTAATGTATAATGATCATCTAGGTTTTCATTTCAAACAATTATTGTATCATGTTTTTCCATGCAGAATTGTCTGTTTTTCCATGCAGAATTGACCAAACATGTTAGCTAAATCATCTGCAGATGAATGTTCACGATTATGGGTGTCCTTTTTCCTACTTGATAATGAGTTTAGCACTTTGAAAAGTTTTATTACGTTATGCTTTTTATGACTCAAATTTATTCCAAAATCTGTTTCTGCATCCTTCGAAATCCTTGTGATCTTGTCCTGACTTTAATTTGCTCCATCTGCTTTTTCTATAACCTTCTTCAATACTCTTGCTGTTTATTGATCAGCTGACTTTTTATGTCTATTATCTTATTTTTGCTGCCGTAGCTGTTGATCTGCATCAAATTTTACCAATAATTCGAATAATTCTTCATGAAAGTTGGATCCTGCCCTTGGGTCTGTAGTCAGTGACCCTTACCTCCAAGCCATCCTTTCCCCCATGCTGCTAGCAATTGATTTACAGAATCTTACCTCCAATCATATGAACTTCTAGGCAGCATCATAGTTAACTTTGATAATAACTCGTGTACTGTTTCACAAGAATGTCACAAGAATGTATGTTAATCGCAATGCTCTCTAAAAGTTAGCTAGAAGTTAAGGATCTAATTTCCTAAACGATTTTTACAAACTATATGTTAGCCATAACACTCCTCACAAATCTTCATTAGGTTGAGTTCAGAGCAGCAAAATCTCATTAAAGCAAATAACAAGAATGCTGGATTGGGCAAAAAGCTAGCTGAGCAAGAGGCACTCATCAGTAATTTGACATTTGAAGTTAGCAGTTTGAAGGAAGAATTAGAAACTGTCAAGAAAGAGAAGGAGAATCTTCAGGACCTTGTTCATTCCACCAGCCATGATTTGGAGGCTCGCACTTTGGAGAAAGTTGACCTTGAGAACAGAATGCAAACTTTAACAGAAGATCTTGAATTCCGAAAAAGAACATTTGAAAAGGTATCAGTTTACATGAGAGATTTATCATGTTGTTTTCTTTCCTTAAAAAGAAACTGACACGCAAAAATAAGTTTGCCTAAAATTGCAGTATCAAATTCCGGTCTAGAACGTAGTTTGATACACTGATTTCGAAACAACTGGAAAATTTCAGCCGTCTGAGTTTGTGCAACAAACCAGCGATCCCGCTTGGGCAGATAGTCGTCCAATGGATCAATGGTGACGATATTTTGCACAAAGCGCAGGCTGGAAGTACGTCTTGTCTGGCCAAATCGGCTTATTTCTTTGAAATGCCTATGATGTCCTAAACGGAACTGCTAAATAATTAATCATCAATGTAACATTCTATGATTTGTTTTCCATGTGTCAAATGCAGTATCGTAATATTAAATAGTAAAGGCGGGTTAAGGTCGTACTTGTGTTAAAGAATGAAAGAATGAATAAATGAAATAGAAGAATTGTGGATGATTGGAAGAATGAATGAAAGCCGGATGAAAACTGATAAGGGGTTGAGCCAGTCGAAAAATCTATAATTACACAATTGGCTCTTAGTCAAAGAATTTTAGTTCTTAGTCAAAGAATATTAGTTGCTGATTAGATGTCATAGTAATATTAACTGGCGCCTTATCTTCTTTGCAAACAGGTTTGACTTGGATTCCCTAGTGCCTCATCCTCTGTTAAAATGTGACAATTAATTTAAGTGAAATTATTTTCTTGTCACACTCGCCGCTCCCATGACCCAACGTTGTTTCTCGAATTCTTGTTTCTTCACCCAAAAGGCTTGGTATAGTATGTTTTCATGAAGGATGCAGGATCACTTTTGCCGCCGTTTCCACTGAATTTTGTTTGTTTTTTGGCTACACTTTCCTCACGAAAGAACCAGGACAGTTCGAAGATCGAAGATCAGACAACTACAAATTTAGGTTGGCGAAAACGACTTTTTAACTTTATGATAATAATTTTTGACAACTGATATCAAATAAGCGGAGAACAGCTAAGTCTGGTGACTTGGACTCAGTTAAAATCGGTCAATAAAACATCGTAATTTTTTATAAACGGGTTATTGAGGCAAAAATATTTTGGAATAAAGAGAAATACAACGTATTTGCTCTCAGTTGGGAAAAATGTTTGCATGGAGATGCCACCGATCGATTATAAAACATGGATGACATTTGGTCCCAAATCAAAAACTTTCTTGCAAAGCAGACATATCATTCAGTGCAGGGCCATAAAGCCATATTATTTCTTTACCGCTGCAAGTCTTGCTGAAATCGGTCGGTACGAGGGTACATTCACAATTCTTTATCAATTTCCTTGCAATTTCCTTGAAAGTTTAATTGTTTATGGACATTTAATACAATTTTGCGTGATGATGCAAAACAGTTTTGATGCAAATTTGGTTAGGGCGGAACGCTCAGACGTTCGTGTCGCGAGAGCTCTTGCTCTTTTTGACCCAATTAGCTCTTGGTCTTTGTGCACCCAATTATATTAGCAATTTAATGATAGCTGTTTCCCATCATTCTGATAAAACATTATCTCTAGACACTGCTCAGAAGTCAATTCATGTATTTCGGTCGCTACTATCTTGAAGAAAAACCCTCACAGGGTTTGCTTACATATCGATCAAATTATATTTTTTCGACGAATACATAGATTAAAGGCAAAAATTCGAGGAAATTGATTAAAAGTTCTTCTAATAACAGATTCGGAACTGAATTGGAAACTGTCCGGATACTTTCGTGAGGGGAGTGTATTACTTCAATTCCCTCTGATGTTGCAATTTTTTCACAAGTTTAGAGGTTTTTCCGATGTTTCAAAGCATGCTGGCTGGAAGCTATCATGGCATAGAAATGAATTTTATGTGGATGCCAGTGTCTTGGCAGACTAGTAGACCCGCAGCCATGATTTTCTAGCTTCTTTATACTTTTTAATGACACGCCTGACAATTTTTTGTCGTCTTATCGCAGAATATTTTCAGTAAAACACGAAATTCAACTTGAATTTCCACCGTTGAGGTGAGAGACTTTACAACGGCATTGTTAAAAGCGGTGAAGCTTGGAAAAAAAATATTTCCAGATTTGAACAGTATATGCCATAGTTATTTTTGCGTGTCAGTTCTCCTTTCAATTTTTAGATGAATGGCATCAAGTTTTTTGCAGGTTTATACTTGAATTAACAGAAAACCAATTGTCTGGTTGTAAAAATTTCATGATACAGGGGGTTTATTATCCGCAGTAATATTTTCAACAAATATATTTCTCCCTCTTGTATGGTTTTTTGGAAGCCTTTTGTTTTTTTTGCTTGTCTGTTTGGGTTTGTATCCCCGTTTTGTCAAGTATTCCAATAGTTGTCTTGTGCGATATTTGAACGTTTCGTCTTCGGAGCAGATCCGTCGTAGTCTTAGGGCAAGACTGTATAGAATGGATTGTTTGGTGTGTTTGGGGTGTGCGGAGGTGCTGAGGAGATATTGGTGTGTATCCGTGGGTTTAACATAGAGATCTGTAGAGAGGGTATTATCATTATTGATGGAAATAGTGACGTCAAGAAAATGTATGGATTTTTTGGATTGTTCTGTGGTGAATTTGATGGTGGGATGGGTGTTGTTGAGTGTATCGATGAAGTCGGTGAGTTTGTCTTGTCTGTGTGTCCAAATCATAAAAATGTCGTCGATGAAACGCCACCACACAAGAGGCTTGTGTGGGGCTTTGTCAAGGGAATTGGTTTCAAGGACTCCCCGTAAAGATATTGGCGTAGGGTGGTTTGTGTATTTGTGCGACAGCAATCAATCTTGATGGCACTGTTACGATGAATAAGATTAGCAATACGTGATCTCAAAATGTTTGCTTTTTCTTTGAAAAATACTCAGTGTTCACATTTCCTTGGGTCAATTTTCGTTTTTTTTGCTCCAACTATTATTTTATTACCTTTCAACATTCCTAAAATGCACATGTACGGAGAAATTTGTTATTCAGATTTTTAAAGTTTGAAAGGACTGTTGAAATTTAGTTGGAGCGTATGATCTCATTCTAAACTCATTCTGAGGAGCGTATGATCCTCATGCGGTAGACCTTTTGACATATGATTGACAGTCGGTCACATCCCAAGGCGTTTATTCAAAACTATTCAATTGCATGTTGCACAGTGATGCAGTGTTGTCGGTTTAGTTACTGGAAGAAAAAATAATAGAATATGGAACAGTTTGGAGCCGAACAAGTCAGTTTGAACTTAAAGGGCAATTCACAGAAATAATCAAGGCAAACATGGAATTGGGGAGATGAAGGAGTTGAGGAGATGAAGGAGTGCTAGTCAGATAATGACTTAGTCTCTTATTCCTTTAATGAATTTTTTTAGTTATTGTTAAATATTCAGCTTAAACACAAACTACACTTGAATCTTAATATAAGCTTATGCTTTTTTAAATCATGTGTGCTTTTAAACTTTGTTGAAAGGTATGTTTGATCAAGCTGATTTGATTTGAAATGTGTTCTGGAAAATGTGCGTTTTTCTGGAGCTAATTTTTTTGACAAATGAACAATAATGTCATCTCATATTTTCTTATCTGCTGTAGTTTTATTATTCAAAGGTTGTTTTAATCGATCTGTACCCAAGTATAAAGTGGCTCCCTTTGTCTTATGACGCCATGGGCTCTCCCTTTTACCACTTTAGAAATTTAATAATTGACATTGTATTTTTTTCTGCTTTGTCGCCTTAGGAGTCTGTGGAGTTAAGGAAACAGATGAAAAGTTTTGAAAGCAGAGTAACCATTACAGAAACGGATTTCAAGAAGAAATATGATACAATCATGAGAGATAAACTGCAGGAGCTACGAGATGAGTTTGAAGAGGAAGCCGATAACATAAAGAATGACGTTGATAACACTTACAAGCAAAAGGTAACTTGATATAGTGTGAGCAGACAGTAGAATTATTTTTCCTACAAACGTTCCCCTCTTCTGTTCACCCAAAAACTTTACAGGGATCAGTTTTGAAATTGCGATGGCCTTGTGTGCAGACAGCAATCAGAAAAGTCATTGTATCTTTCTTACTGCGTCATAAAGAACAATACTATGAATTTATTGAAAAGTTTCATGAGCCTAAGCATTGTAAAGGGTATTAGCCCCTGTCAAATAACCACGCTTTGAACAGATAAGCAGACATGTGCAATGTTTTTTTATCGAATCGTATCTCTTTAACGGTTTAAAAATCAGTTTTCAAGTAGCTATTGCATTTACTTTTTAGAGAAGAGCAGTCTTCTCTTTCACAAATAATTTAAAAAATGTGGAAGCTCTTTAAATATGACAGTTCTCCATTTTAAAGGCAATTTAAATTATTAAAACTGTCAAAGCTCAGTCTTGGAAAACCCTTCCGACAGGACCCATGTTGTCAAATTTTGAATACTCTATAAGGCAAAATACACTATGGATTTATATTGATTCGATTAAATGAATGGTCCATTTAAATGAAAAAATGTTTCCTTTCATACTCATCCATTGAATTAAATCAGTTTTTTTAGAGCGTCCCCTCATTTCATCGTGGACTCCGACGAGGACTGTGCTGCTGCTTCCGCTGTTAGTGAAATTGTTTATAAATATCGAAAAAGTATGCGCAAAGAGCTAAATAGGCAACAAAGATGCGTCTGGGTTAAGCCCTGGTTGACCCGAAAACATGAGCTAGGAGTTAATAACACGCCTTTGCAAGAATTTCGTCTGAAAAAAGGCGACGAATGCCAAAGGTTCTTGAGAATGTTTTGCGAAAATATTAATGAGCTTTTTTTGCAACTCGTTGAATTTGATACTAAATAATCAACACAAGGCTGCGAGAGGCAATACCAACAAAGATAAAATTCTCAGCAAGGCTCGTTAATTTTGCATCTCTATTGCGATACAGAGGCGATCTTGTGTCCCAAAGACAGCTTTCCTATCTCCACAAATTCATAAACTCTTCCTCTTTTTTATTTCTTTGACTCTTTGCAACCGTTTTTAAGAATTTCAGAAAGCAGTGTGATCAGAAAAAAACCCGGCTGGTAGATTGAAGCCCCTGAAGTGCAGTTCGAAACAGTTATTTTGACCTCCAATTTTGCGTTTACACTGTCTATTTTCCAGCTATCCATTTAATTGAATCAATTTAAATGCATAGTGTATTTCAGCCTTAATACGAATCCACATATTTGTTGTGTTATGTTTCTTTTGTACACCGTTTCTCATTACTTTTCATTTGATATAATGATATTTCATGAGCATATTTCCTGTAGTCGAACTACTTGTGACTTATATATTCCATTTATATTTTAAGTTAATTTTCTATAACAAAATTTTAGGTGGACGACTTAAAGAATAAAGGCGAGAAATTGAAGGAGCAATCGAAACATCAGCTTATCATGATCAATGAATATAAGTCTAGCCTGGAAACTCTGAAGATTGAAAAGAGTGTTTTAGAAACTGAGGTGATTATGCAACGTGATATTGTATTATTGGATATGCTGCCATTGTAACATGTTCTTTTCACTTTATAAATAAATATATATCAGAGTACTTTCTAATAGACGACCCAGTATTCAATGAGGTAACTGTTAACCAACTTGCCTTACGAATCGTCTCTGCAATGGAACAAATTTAGCCATTTATACTCCCGTCTTTATCGTTCCGCTATTAAAAGTGTCCTGTTCTGTTAGATTATTAAACAGATTCCAAAGCAGCTTTTAAATTGGGTATGTACAAGCAAAAAAACAAATTTGTAAATGCATGTTTATGAAATATTTATCTGAATTGTTGCTTTTTTTCAGGTAAAATCTCTGAAGAAGCGTATTGATGACCTAGAAACGCTTCGCCACAATGAAAGAGACGATTTCAACAAGCAGCTTGAAGATAAAGCAGATGAAATACGAGAGTTGAATTGTGCCATTGATGATCGTGATAAGGAATATGAATCTCTCATGGACATCAAAATTGCTCTGGACCTAGAGATAGCAGCATATAGAAAATTATTGGAAGGCGAAGAGGAAAGGTATTTCCATCAACAAATTTCGAGCTTGAGTTAAGCTTTCAAAATTCATTGTTCCTGGTAGTGTTTACTTACATAATTTTGATCAACGTGGTTACTTACAAAGTGAATATTTTTGTTGCAGACTACAAATAACTCCTACATCCACTCCAAGCCGAAAACGTCCAAGAGTAGAAGTCGACTCGCCTGATCCTTCAGTTTTGAAAACTGCAAAAGGAAGTATTGAAATTTCAGAGTGTGATCCATCTGGTAAATTTGTGAAGATAGCGAACACAAGCTCTACTGTAAGCACTTTACCCTGCTTTATTGTGACATGATTTGCTGTGTTTGGCAATCCTGGCATTGTCTATTTGCTTTGACTACATTCATTTACTAGGAACGGAGGGATGAAATTCATCATATAAAACTATGTCGAGACAATAGAAAGCAATTATATATCTAACAAAATCGAACGCTGAAAATGTAAGATATCTTGTGCCTTAAAAGTTTATATAACTTTTAGTTCTTTTAGATTATATAACGTTCTTTTAGGTTATATTAGTTTGAAAAATTGCTTTGAACTGATATGCGTCTGATACAGCACATGGCCTATACCATTGGAAGGGCTCACAAGAGGTGGTTAATGAGGTGGGATTGCAAGTCAAAACATTCTTGGGATTTGTTTGAAAAAATTAGTTGATTAAACCTGGAAGTTTGAGATCTCAAGCGGTTGGCTCTACAAGCAATTTCTAATCAATTTTTGCTTCCAATTAAAGATGAGATTTTATTGGCAGGATGAGCCTTTAGGAGGTTGGTTAATCAGGCGGGTTGCTGACAATAAAGATCCTGTGGAATTCAAGTTCAATCCAAGAAGCGTTCTTAAAGGTGGATCCGCCGTATTGGTAAGTCTTCATTTCAAATAGCTTGCTAGAATGGTCAACGTTAGGGAGCAATTTGAAACAGCTGGTGGAAATTCACGGGTCACGTGTTAGGATGAGGGGGGGGGGGTACAATGATGTTGCGTTGGGTGGGGTGAATCCACCACATCATTCGAAATGAGTTTTAGTGTGCAAGAGAATCGTGGCGCATCGAGAAGATTTTAACGACTTTTGTTACTAAAAAATTGATTTGTTATTGCCAAAGCTTTAACGTTTTTCTCATACGTAGACTTCAACATTATTCCTCTGATCATTTCATGATAACGAGGCCGTTTATACTACAGCGGGAACAGACAATGTGAACGCAATTAGGGGCTGTTTTGCCGAAGGGACGGCACAGAGACATCTGTCTGTGGAAGTCCAGGCTCACGAAAAGTGAATATTACTGAAAGCCACGAAGTGCATATGACACGAAGATTTTTATTTGCCCCATAGACGTAATAAAGTATGCTGGTCACGGAAATAGCCATAAAATTTTCGAAAAACAAACACTTTCGTAATTACAGCGGTTTCAAAGTCGATTTTTTGCTTCAAATTCTGTCACAGGGGATTGGGTCGAGTTTGACAGGAAGTGACGTTAAGTGAATGTGTGAGTGAAAATATTTCTTACTAACAAGAAACAATACCGAGGAGTTTTACCTGCGAGTCTTTGAACCTGTCTCATGGCAAATATTCAAGCTCGAGGGCGTCAATTTTTTAAGAGAGTGACGGGAAATAGCTGGTAGTTGCTGCTGATAGGCTTTTGTTGCCTTGCAAGAACGAACCCAGTCGTTTCTTCTGCGAATAATTCAGACGCGGAACCAGGCGAAGCTGGCATGGCTCGAAGCTTTCATGGCCGAGCAGAAGACGAAGATGGAATACAGCAATCCCAACTTCGTGATCGATGGCGAGGAGTAAATACGTTGAATCAACGGTGAGGGAAATAAGTTGTCATTGTGTTTTTTAGTATTATAAATTCTGTATTTTCTGTACATCGCTGCTGTTTGCAAGGCCACCATTGCCTGATCATAGTGGCCCAGTCTATTGCGTTGTAGGGCCAATGAAGAAGAAATACAAATTCTTTTTGACATCTCTAGTTCTTGGAATTAGTCAATTTAATATTATATTTTAATTAAATCTGGTGGAAATAAGTATACCATATACAAATAATATATACATGCAATGTTTTGATCCTGCCTATTCAAAAGAATATTAGAGAAACTCAAATTAACTATTAAATTAAGTCATACAATGTTTTTGTTCAATAGGTATCTCTGTGCAATGGCATACAGTCTTGATGTCTGCCAGAGATTCCAAAGCAACTCCATCTGTGTAGAGCTTCCGTTTACGCTGCTTGCCTGTGAAGAAAAAGAAACACAAATTTAAATATTTACATTCAACAACAAACATGATCCACAATTAATTTTTTGGTCTTTGACCAAAGCTGACCAGGTCAAAGACAATTATTTCTGTTATACAGAAACATATTTTTTAAAAGTTTGAGTAGGTTAAATGGTTGATTTGATTGAAATTTTTTATATCATGTTTTGTTACTTGATTACTTTTGTTTATTGTTAATCGATTCTCACTTTTATTTTGCATCTTTATCTTATAGATTTTCATTTTGGCATTATTCCAATATCCCCCAGTTTTGTTAAATATTTCTTGACTTTCCAACCTCCTGCTTTTTTCTGATCCCCATCTTTTGGGCTTCTTAGAGTATATGGATGGGTCTGTGTCAATTTATGAATTCCCAGATTTTCAAAAATTCAGGGTTTCTGATTGTGAAAATCCATAAGTTATTAAAAATTAAAAATCAACCATTAAAAAATCAGTTTACTGGGGCTAGGCGTAGGGCCTATGAAACCACGTTGGATTTTACGTGTAAGAAAAAACGTTTGCTTATGCATAAAATATTGAAGTAGTTTACATTTGTTCAAATGGTTTATAGAAGTAACTGAAACATTGAATATTGGGGTTATTTTTATGTATTAAAAACGCTGATATGGATCCCACACACAGAGACAAGGATTTCCGTTTTTCCGTAAAGTAAGTGCCCCCGGTGTTGTCCAGTCCTTACCAATAACGTATCTCAGCTTGCTGTTACACAATAGAACGTTATTAGGCAGTTCTAAAAAACAATAGAAACATATTACTCACCATGCGATTTTCATTCTTGCTTAGTTCTTCGTCCTGTTTTAGTTTATTTTATTTTGTTAGTGCATCACGTTGAAAAAAATTGTGTTTTCGTGTCAAAACCAGGAAGAGAGGAAATGTAAGCGAAAAATCAGTCGGAGGAAGTTTTCATTGAGTAAGATGATGGCTCGATATCTTTTTACATACACGATGCATTTTTTATAAGTATTGCCAAGCGGCAAACTTCTGTTGGGGTAGAATTTCCCGGATGGCAGCCAACCACAGCGGTATCTTCCTCGGAGGGGTATTGTTCCCTAGAGTCAAGTACACTAGAAAACTGGTTTACCGTAACGCACTTACCTGTTTTATAGTACAAGTTTTCTAATTTCGTTCTTATACAACATGTTTATTTTGGAATAAGCTCTTCTTCAAATAATATCGGCTTGGCCATATGATAATATTGTGAGTTGCGAAATTTTGACCATGGCCGGGGCCGGCGATGTGCACTTCACGTTATTTCAAACTTTATCAATTTTGAAATGAACCAACAATTTTCCTAAATTATTTTCCAACCTTTGATGGCATTTCTTAAATTATCTCAATAAAACTTGTATCAATTATGGTGGGAAAAAAATCTCTAGGCGATCAACAGTAGTGCCTGTTCATAGTGAAACCATAGAGGAGCTTTATTCAACAGACACACAACCACTTTACGTCGCAGGGGTCACGTGACCAGAGATCGGACCGCGTTTTTTTGTTGTGACAAATTCTAGCTCGAGTGGGTGCTGGAAAACCCAGTTTTTTGGGGAAATTAAGTCGCAAATGATAAAATAAGTTCACCATCGTTTCCAGCGATGTTTCTTTGGTGATTTAAGCGAATAAAAATTTTCGTGTCATATTGCACTTTTAGAATGATTGAGACTTGGCAGCACTGCTGCAAGCATCAAGATTTTACTGTTTGCCATTTTTTCAGATACTCTGCTTTGACGATTTGTAAGCAAAATCCCTCTTACACGCAGTCGGTCCTGCACCAAAATGTTTGTTTACGGTTACGTTAGCCGGTCCCTTTTAACCACTCTTTACTTTTTAATTGCAGTCCAAGACCTTGAGTACTGCATATGTACATATATTTTGAATAATAATGGTAAATTAATAGCTTTGAAGACTTTTGAAAGTCAATTTGAATATTTACTTTGAATATTTCTTTCTCCGTAAATAAATGCCATTTTTGCTAGGGGGCAACCGAGTTACAGTGGAATGCAGTGCTTTTAATCCTGATAACAGAAGTTTTTTTCGTCCAGATAATCGTATTGTTGGTTCTTAATTCATTAAGTAACGAAGTATGCTCCATGAAATGTTAGAAAAGTATGCCTTAAACGAGTAAAGCTTTTCAACGGCTAATCTAAAGGGCTTTATCGCAATTTAGCCAGAAATTTTGCCAGTTATCGCAAAAATTTTCAGCCCGCCGTCCAGCATTGCCCCAGGGCCTCTGAAACTTCCCAGCAGCCCCGACGATGAAACCAAGATGCCCTTTCATACATGGTTTGAAGACTGTCTGTTTCAGCATCCTTTCCTATTTTTATGAACAGTTTTGCTTTTTTGCTGGATGCTGCACCTCTGTTCTCCGCCATTACTTTCGGAAGAATGCTAGTTTCATGAGGTTACCACGTGACAGAATGGGGAGCTATCATTGTCAGCATTTTATTTATTTCCCAGGCCCCACAAAATTGTATTTCCGTCCATGACCTTTTCAAGATTGGGGCACCCCTTGCTGTATTGCAGTTTTCAACAAAGAGACCTGAGGGAGTTTGAATATTTCACAAAGAAATTTAGCCAGTGATTGCAATCTTTAGGAAATGGTTAGTAATTCTAAAACCCTTAAGGACCAAAACCCTTAGACGTTTTTGATTTACTAAAAACCTTTTTTATCTGGCAAAAACAAAATCAAACATAAAATTTTGAAAACGTACATCGACCAACCCCATCAAATACCTGAAAATTGTGCCATTCAAGATGTAATTTTTTTAAGGTGGCAGTCTTTAAAACAAGCATCACATAGTCCAAAATATTTGGCTCTGGTCATCAGCAATTCCTATGCCTGTGACCGTATCCGTTTTTCAACCAAACTTCTTCTGACTACATATTGATAATTCAGGCTTGGTTTTTGAAGTATTTGAGTGACATGGTAATTTTGATGTCGTTGAGATCTTCACTCTTGGTTTTCTTCGATAGATCTGGAGTGCATCCTCTGGTTCTAAACATAAGCCACCAACAGATCTGCTGATGAAATCCAGTGACTGGTTTCCAGGCCCTAATGCTGTAACTACGCTCCACAACTCTGAGGGTGACGTAAGTGTAGCATGTTAATTTGGCATTGCAGTTTTCCAAATCAATATTTTTCTGTTAATAATTAAAAGTGTCATTTTGAAATCTGCAGTTCACATTGAAAACCTGCCATGTCGCTTCCTTGCATTTGTAAAGGCAGTATCCTAGGTCTGATATTGATTCAAATAAAGTAAATATAAATGGAAAATGTTGTTGGTCCCTAAAGCTCGCGCTAAGCAAAACCGACCTTACCTCCTTATACTGATTACTGTTCTCTTTGTCACTTTAGGTACCGAGGGTAATTTTGCTACAATTTCCTTCCCTTTCCTTGGTACGCTTAGTGACGTAGGCAGTAAAAAAATTCATGCCTTCCCTCACTCCATCCCAAATCTCCTCTCTTATTCAATAGCACTCCTTATTAGTAAAAAATTGTTCGTCTTATAGTCACGGCTGTTAGGCAAATGTTGTGCAAAATCAGATATCACCATGAAACTTCGTCCACAAGAGTAGTTTTGGGCGCTGAACAAGATAAGATGCAGACCCCAGCTGAGAATTGCCCCCAAATGCTATTTTTAGACTGTTGTATTAGATCGCAGGCCCCAAAAGCGGTTTTCTAATAATGTTGCTGCTAGTTAGATTGATACCAGCATCAAGATTGGTAGAGGTGGGCAATTTGATAAGCTCAAAAAAGATAGGATGCAGACCCCAGCTAAAAGATTCCCTCAAGTGCTATTTATAGATTGTCTCAAATTTGAAGCAAGGGAAAAGAAAGGAGATGGTATAAGGGTATCTGATGTTGAATCAACTCCTATTAGCACTGGCGTCAAATCCACATACTTTGAAGAATCGTTACCCAAAAATTGAAAAAAATAGTTTTTGACCCAAAATTGGTAGATTCCTTAATTGTTCATGCATGAATTGTTATTAATTGAAACTAATAGTCAGTGATGACTGATGCCTGAAAACTAATTTAGATATGATACGGTGACAGTTGCTCTCCTATGGCCGGCCCGTGATTTTGCCTTTTGAGAAAAAAAGGCTGCTCAAGTACCATCTGTTTCCGCTGCCTGCTCAAAAAGATTGTTGAGATTGACTATCAGTAGTGGTTAACATGGCAAAAGAACCCCTCCCGCAAGAATCATTTCAAGAGGCTTCATTGACGGCAAATCAAGAGATCACTTGTACTCATGCCGTGGATCGTTAACCAAATGAAGCCCCAAAAAGTAAGAAGACATTGGGAATTGAAAATTACAGACTGAATCATATGATCGTTTAACCCATGTACCAGGAATTCGTGCCAACAATCCAATCGAGAGCAATTAGACGATGTCAAAAGATACTGCTGTTATCATCTTGCTTTTTGACACATTTGTCATACACCTTGATGGGGGTGGATACTACACTCATCAGATTTTGTTCGGAAAATATTCGATGAGATTCGCTTGTTAAACTCCAGACAACTTATTTCATTTAATTCGCTTTTAGCCATTATATTATAAAATGTTTGCTTTTTTCAAAGCCATTTTCAAGTTCTGTACTGCCAAAAACTGTTTTTATTTAATTCGTTCAAATATCTATGTTTTGTAAGGTATAATTTTGTCCTAACGTTGCATCACCTTTTTGCTTGCACTCTCACAAGTGCAAAAACGGATCTTTTGATTTTTTTCGCATTTTACCCTCGGTAACTTTGGGGCAATTTAGATAGAAATGATGCTTTGAAAACCAATATCAGTGACAAGTCCAGTGACAATTTCTCTTCTGTCTATCTCTCGCGATTGTTTTGTGAATTCGTGAAAAGCATCAATGAATGACAGCCTTATCATAGAGGAGTTTGTATGACTTTAGATGATGACATTAAGGAAGAGGGATTTCAAAATCTGTGAAAATGTTGGGTACGTAATATACAATGACCCCTAAGGTCCAGTAATTTACTTATTTTGGAAGGAGTTATTTGATAGAAGTGACTTACTTGCAACCAGCATAGCTCTTTGTCCGACATTCGACAAATGTTCTCTAATTTATGTCAAAGGTTGTTGCACAACTGACTGAAGCAAATCTTGGAACAGCCACAAGTAAGCAGAGATCTCGCCAAAAGGTAAGCACCCTGCCCATGCTAATGCTGATGTTGCTTGTCAAATTATATTTTCCTGTCTTTCTTTATTTGACCTTGTGTGTTTCGTAGTTTAGTAAAAAGAAACTGTTTTAAGAAGTACTTGAGCTTTTTGCCTAATGATCTTCAGAATGCTTTTCAGATTAGGTTTCATCCAATCTGATAGCAATAGTAGAAGTAAAGTTTTGCCTTATAACGATATCAATAGGATTAGGTCCACCCAATAACAGGGCATTTTCCAGCAAGAACAAGGGATATTTAGTCACAAATTTCAGAATATATACTTACTTTTGAAAAGTATTGCAACATCCGCTAAAATTCCAGTAGCTGCAGCAATTTTGGTAAAAGTTTGGGTCGAAGATAATATAAAAATTTATCATGGTATAGTAATGAAGATGTAAACTGTAAAAGAATTCTTGAGTTTTTTCATTTCTAAACAATACCGACATTTTCGAAAACTTCCCATTCTATTGCTTCCCATCCAGTACACTGTTATAAGGAGAATATAGTACAGTTTGAAAATTCCTAGCCCCAATTGACTATATTCGAGCAAGTCTTGCAAAGGTTTCAAATCTTTGAGACTATCCAATAAAAAGTACTTTCTGAGCTATAAGTGTTGCAAATTTTTTTAGGTTTTTTTATTGGTATTATCTTATTAGCTATTCTTCTTCTAGCGTACTCTAGATAAGAATGAGAGCTGCACTGTCTCCTAATCATGATCCAGTCTCGTCACCATGCTCCAGTCTGGAAGAGGTGTAAAAGCTGCAAATAAAGAAAATTGCGGAGGTTCCCACTAGAAAACTTTAAACTTGTGTATAACGTACAGACTTAGGCAAATATTCAGTTTTTCCCTGTTTTTATTCTTGTATCATGTTGTTAGATAGGGATGGGCAAGATACACTTAAAAAGTATCGTACTTCAAGATAACAGTTTTTATACAAACGGTATCTTATCTTAAAATATAATGATTAGTCCCATTTCTGGTGTTAGATCGTGTTTTATTTGATCAAGAGCTACAGAAGGTTGCTGAATAGTTTGCTGAATATTAATGGTCCAGCTATCAAAAAGTTTTCTCTGCGTAACTTAGCGAGATTATAGGGAAGACAATTTGTTACTAAGGGTGAATAAGCTATCACCCTCTCCAGTCAGTGCTTGTATGTTTTTCTGAATATGAACGGTTAGGCACGAGTTTTAGAAGACAATTGCAACCTCTCCTTTTTGGTTTCAGAAGACGATTGCAAGCTATTCAGTAAATCTTTCCCGTTCTTCTATTTTATTGGTTATGAATATTCGTCTTCTCTTTCGTTATTTATGCGTATAATTTGGTGGAGTGTCTCAGCGATGTAAGTGTTAGGTTGGTGTTAGAAAACACATTAGCTGACTTAAAAACAATAGGTAGACAGTTTTTGTTGCTCTGATATAATAATGTCCCGATCTCCACTGAAAGCTTCTTTGTTAAACTCAATTTGTTACAGTTTGAAGCTGTCAGGGTTGTTTCCAATCACCTTATGTTTCAAATCCTGTTGATTGGTCAATGCTTTCCTTGTTCATACCGACAAGGTTAGTGGTTTAGTCTGGTCAATAGCAAGTATGTATTTGATGAAGGTTGTATTTGATTAAGTATGTATTTGATGAAGTATCTATGCAAGTATGTATGAGACACTAATGAAGCTTGAAGGTCGAGACGCTGCCGCCTTTTATTTTTGTGTTAGTTCTTATCGGCAGGACGCTTATTGCAGGCACCGTACTAGCAACTCCAATTTTAAGTTTCGGTTCTGCTTACCCTCGATAATGGAGAACCTGGATGCCGATGATTAAGAATTTCGCTATATAGGACCAAATTTATTTTAGATAAACGTTTCGCTTAAGCTAAACTCGGGACAAGTGGAACTGTTTCTATTGGGGACCTATCTTTTATTCCCCTGGATCTAAGTACTTCAAGGGGACTGCTGGCTTTCTAAAACATACCAAAAATTGTTTAACCCGGGACATTCTATGGACACTTTACACGAGCCTCAAAATTGGTAAAAAAATAAGGAAAGATTGAGAACAAGCTGATCCTTGGCTACTGAAAAATTTAATTTAGAACAATGTTTATCTGAGAAACGAGGAGATCGGTGACTTCTCAAACTTGTGGGCCAATTAAAGATGTCTCGCTCGCTTTGTAGGCAAACACGGCCTGAAAACCTCCCTACATCACAACAGCAGCAATTGCACTGCTTATACAGCTAATTAATTATCAAAATAAATAATGAACCAAAATTGTTTTTGCTGAATTACTTGAATTCCAATTTGAATTACACCCTAATAATATAATAACCAATAAAGAACAATCCAGCCCCATATTTTCCAGAAAATTAAGAACAGCCAGCCTGAACAACAATTTACTTGTTCTTTTAAAAAAGAGTGCACACTGTTATAAATGAACGCTCTTTTAGATACTGCTGCTTCATCATCATCAGGTATTTCCCCTGTTAAAAAGGAAGAAGCAGGAAGTGAGAATGTTGAGGATGACCAATCATATGCCAAAGCTACGCTAGTTCGACTTACAGCCTCATTTTGAAAAATTCTCCAAATTCTTTTTTCAAAATTTTTGACCGCATATTCGGATTGTGAGCAATGACTTTCGTCTACTTGGAAATTTTCATTGTGGTATTGGTTTCCATTGTGCTCACGATATTGATTTTATGACGACATAAATATGAGCATTTTATAAGGGATTTGACCGTGATTGGCAACTAGGGGGGTAAAGTTTCCCCCTGAAAATTTTCCCTTAAAATCTCAAATATAAGCTCAAACAAAATGAAAATTTGTATTCGGTCTTAAATTATGGCGATAAAACCATATCTGAGCTTAAAAAGTCGTATAATTAAATTTGGAGAAATTTCTAAAACGAGGCCTTTAGTCAAATTGGTGTATAGAGAAAGTATTAGGAATGAGGTGAGATTGTGACAATGATGAATTTATATTCTCATTTGAAAAGATCATAGAACGGGCTGAAATATTAAAACCTACAATAAAGCTTCTGAATACGGTTCCGAAAGAATAAGATGGAAAATATATATTCAGTCGCGAATCGAAATAGGCTAATCAGAAAAACGCGAGCACAAGGCCGGTATAGTTGATCAATCAGTATTGCGTGCCTATAGGAAAAATACCACTGGAGTCAAAGAGAAATAACGAACTCCTGTCTACACAATAGCGGCTGTTTTGTTTGTATGTAGATCGATCCAAAAACTGCTGGATGAAAAGACAAGCGGACTCTGCCAATCGTCTGAAACATATTGTCACTATAGCGTCTTGCACAATTTAGGTTATCTGAAAGACGTTGTCCGATTGCAGAATCACTTGTTTTAACTGTGTTTCTAGACTTACAAGATCGAAGAGGCTGTTCTCTTAGAGGGGTAGTTTTGTTTCTTCTGTTGGAAGGAAGATGCTTTTATCCTATCCCCCAATCTTTGAGTTGTGCGTCCTATGTAGGCAGAATCACATTGGCACGGCAATTCATAAACACAGTATGTTGTGAAATGTTTGCATTTTTCAAAGCCAAAAACAAATTACCTCAACACTAGGATTTGACATGGGATTTGATATGTATTTAAATGTAACTAATAACGCAAGCGAGTCTGAATGGAGGAGGGCTGAGAAGGCGTGACCGGATTTTTTTCAGGCTACGCCCTCTAGTACGTCTGAAAACGTCCCTTTTAGAAAATACTTGCTTATTTCTACTGAAGTTTTATAAACAGTCTGGTTCAGAGAATATATCATTAGCCAAAGAACAAATAAAATTAGCTTGGGGATAATAGAACATCAAGAAAAACACCTAAAAAATAAACAAAAATAGTTCCCAGTCAAGAAAAACTGCTACTTCTTAGAAGTATACTATCCAATATTGCGTTAGAGCATAGTTAGAGTAAACTTTTCAAAAAGATTGTCCAACCTATTATTGCAAAAAGGGGGGGGGGGGGGACTATAGCCCCTGCTATCCCAATGGCTGCGCGGTGCCTGAACAGTGGTCGAGGTTTATATCCAATATATCGTTGGTTGAGGAGATTGGTATGAAGTAGAGATGATTAGTTAACATTGTATATGTATGTATAGTACCATCTGTTTCCGCTGCCTGCTCAAAAAGATTGTTGAGATTGACTATCAGTAGTGGTTAACATGGCAAAAGAACCCCTCCCGCAAGAATCATTTCAAGAGGCTTCATTGACGGCAAATCAAGAGATCACTTGTACTCATGCCGTGGATCGTTAACCAAATGAAGCCCCAAAAAGTAAGAAGACATTGGGAATTGAAAATTACAGACTGAATCATATGATCGTTTAACCCATGTACCAGGAATTCGTGCCAACAATCCAATCGAGAGCAATTAGACGATGTCAAAAGATACTGCTGTTATCATCTTGCTTTTTGACACATTTGTCATACACCTTGATGGGGGTGGATACTACACTCATCAGATTTTGTTCGGAAAATATTCGATGAGATTCGCTTGTTAAACTCCAGACAACTTATTTCATTTAATTCGCTTTTAGCCATTATATTATAAAATGTTTGCTTTTTTCAAAGCCATTTTCAAGTTCTGTACTGCCAAAAACTGTTTTTATTTAATTCGTTCAAATATCTATGTTTTGTAAGGTATAATTTTGTCCTAACGTTGCATCACCTTTTTGCTTGCACTCTCACAAGTGCAAAAACGGATCTTTTGATTTTTTTCGCATTTTACCCTCGGTAACTTTGGGGCAATTTAGATAGAAATGATGCTTTGAAAACCAATATCAGTGACAAGTCCAGTGACAATTTCTCTTCTGTCTATCTCTCGCGATTGTTTTGTGAATTCGTGAAAAGCATCAATGAATGACAGCCTTATCATAGAGGAGTTTGTATGACTTTAGATGATGACATTAAGGAAGAGGGATTTCAAAATCTGTGAAAATGTTGGGTACGTAATATACAATGACCCCTAAGGTCCAGTAATTTACTTATTTTGGAAGGAGTTATTTGATAGAAGTGACTTACTTGCAACCAGCATAGCTCTTTGTCCGACATTCGACAAATGTTCTCTAATTTATGTCAAAGGTTGTTGCACAACTGACTGAAGCAAATCTTGGAACAGCCACAAGTAAGCAGAGATCTCGCCAAAAGGTAAGCACCCTGCCCATGCTAATGCTGATGTTGCTTGTCAAATTATATTTTCCTGTCTTTCTTTATTTGACCTTGTGTGTTTCGTAGTTTAGTAAAAAGAAACTGTTTTAAGAAGTACTTGAGCTTTTTGCCTAATGATCTTCAGAATGCTTTTCAGATTAGGTTTCATCCAATCTGATAGCAATAGTAGAAGTAAAGTTTTGCCTTATAACGATATCAATAGGATTAGGTCCACCCAATAACAGGGCATTTTCCAGCAAGAACAAGGGATATTTAGTCACAAATTTCAGAATATATACTTACTTTTGAAAAGTATTGCAACATCCGCTAAAATTCCAGTAGCTGCAGCAATTTTGGTAAAAGTTTGGGTCGAAGATAATATAAAAATTTATCATGGTATAGTAATGAAGATGTAAACTGTAAAAGAATTCTTGAGTTTTTTCATTTCTAAACAATACCGACATTTTCGAAAACTTCCCATTCTATTGCTTCCCATCCAGTACACTGTTATAAGGAGAATATAGTACAGTTTGAAAATTCCTAGCCCCAATTGACTATATTCGAGCAAGTCTTGCAAAGGTTTCAAATCTTTGAGACTATCCAATAAAAAGTACTTTCTGAGCTATAAGTGTTGCAAATTTTTTTAGGTTTTTTTATTGGTATTATCTTATTAGCTATTCTTCTTCTAGCGTACTCTAGATAAGAATGAGAGCTGCACTGTCTCCTAATCATGATCCAGTCTCGTCACCATGCTCCAGTCTGGAAGAGGTGTAAAAGCTGCAAATAAAGAAAATTGCGGAGGTTCCCACTAGAAAACTTTAAACTTGTGTATAACGTACAGACTTAGGCAAATATTCAGTTTTTCCCTGTTTTTATTCTTGTATCATGTTGTTAGATAGGGATGGGCAAGATACACTTAAAAAGTATCGTACTTCAAGATAACAGTTTTTATACAAACGGTATCTTATCTTAAAATATAATGATTAGTCCCATTTCTGGTGTTAGATCGTGTTTTATTTGATCAAGAGCTACAGAAGGTTGCTGAATAGTTTGCTGAATATTAATGGTCCAGCTATCAAAAAGTTTTCTCTGCGTAACTTAGCGAGATTATAGGGAAGACAATTTGTTACTAAGGGTGAATAAGCTATCACCCTCTCCAGTCAGTGCTTGTATGTTTTTCTGAATATGAACGGTTAGGCACGAGTTTTAGAAGACAATTGCAACCTCTCCTTTTTGGTTTCAGAAGACGATTGCAAGCTATTCAGTAAATCTTTCCCGTTCTTCTATTTTATTGGTTATGAATATTCGTCTTCTCTTTCGTTATTTATGCGTATAATTTGGTGGAGTGTCTCAGCGATGTAAGTGTTAGGTTGGTGTTAGAAAACACATTAGCTGACTTAAAAACAATAGGTAGACAGTTTTTGTTGCTCTGATATAATAATGTCCCGATCTCCACTGAAAGCTTCTTTGTTAAACTCAATTTGTTACAGTTTGAAGCTGTCAGGGTTGTTTCCAATCACCTTATGTTTCAAATCCTGTTGATTGGTCAATGCTTTCCTTGTTCATACCGACAAGGTTAGTGGTTTAGTCTGGTCAATAGCAAGTATGTATTTGATGAAGGTTGTATTTGATTAAGTATGTATTTGATGAAGTATCTATGCAAGTATGTATGAGACACTAATGAAGCTTGAAGGTCGAGACGCTGCCGCCTTTTATTTTTGTGTTAGTTCTTATCGGCAGGACGCTTATTGCAGGCACCGTACTAGCAACTCCAATTTTAAGTTTCGGTTCTGCTTACCCTCGATAATGGAGAACCTGGATGCCGATGATTAAGAATTTCGCTATATAGGACCAAATTTATTTTAGATAAACGTTTCGCTTAAGCTAAACTCGGGACAAGTGGAACTGTTTCTATTGGGGACCTATCTTTTATTCCCCTGGATCTAAGTACTTCAAGGGGACTGCTGGCTTTCTAAAACATACCAAAAATTGTTTAACCCGGGACATTCTATGGACACTTTACACGAGCCTCAAAATTGGTAAAAAAATAAGGAAAGATTGAGAACAAGCTGATCCTTGGCTACTGAAAAATTTAATTTAGAACAATGTTTATCTGAGAAACGAGGAGATCGGTGACTTCTCAAACTTGTGGGCCAATTAAAGATGTCTCGCTCGCTTTGTAGGCAAACACGGCCTGAAAACCTCCCTACATCACAACAGCAGCAATTGCACTGCTTATACAGCTAATTAATTATCAAAATAAATAATGAACCAAAATTGTTTTTGCTGAATTACTTGAATTCCAATTTGAATTACACCCTAATAATATAATAACCAATAAAGAACAATCCAGCCCCATATTTTCCAGAAAATTAAGAACAGCCAGCCTGAACAACAATTTACTTGTTCTTTTAAAAAAGAGTGCACACTGTTATAAATGAACGCTCTTTTAGATACTGCTGCTTCATCATCATCAGGTATTTCCCCTGTTAAAAAGGAAGAAGCAGGAAGTGAGAATGTTGAGGATGACCAATCATATGCCAAAGCTACGCTAGTTCGACTTACAGCCTCATTTTGAAAAATTCTCCAAATTCTTTTTTCAAAATTTTTGACCGCATATTCGGATTGTGAGCAATGACTTTCGTCTACTTGGAAATTTTCATTGTGGTATTGGTTTCCATTGTGCTCACGATATTGATTTTATGACGACATAAATATGAGCATTTTATAAGGGATTTGACCGTGATTGGCAACTAGGGGGGTAAAGTTTCCCCCTGAAAATTTTCCCTTAAAATCTCAAATATAAGCTCAAACAAAATGAAAATTTGTATTCGGTCTTAAATTATGGCGATAAAACCATATCTGAGCTTAAAAAGTCGTATAATTAAATTTGGAGAAATTTCTAAAACGAGGCCTTTAGTCAAATTGGTGTATAGAGAAAGTATTAGGAATGAGGTGAGATTGTGACAATGATGAATTTATATTCTCATTTGAAAAGATCATAGAACGGGCTGAAATATTAAAACCTACAATAAAGCTTCTGAATACGGTTCCGAAAGAATAAGATGGAAAATATATATTCAGTCGCGAATCGAAATAGGCTAATCAGAAAAACGCGAGCACAAGGCCGGTATAGTTGATCAATCAGTATTGCGTGCCTATAGGAAAAATACCACTGGAGTCAAAGAGAAATAACGAACTCCTGTCTACACAATAGCGGCTGTTTTGTTTGTATGTAGATCGATCCAAAAACTGCTGGATGAAAAGACAAGCGGACTCTGCCAATCGTCTGAAACATATTGTCACTATAGCGTCTTGCACAATTTAGGTTATCTGAAAGACGTTGTCCGATTGCAGAATCACTTGTTTTAACTGTGTTTCTAGACTTACAAGATCGAAGAGGCTGTTCTCTTAGAGGGGTAGTTTTGTTTCTTCTGTTGGAAGGAAGATGCTTTTATCCTATCCCCCAATCTTTGAGTTGTGCGTCCTATGTAGGCAGAATCACATTGGCACGGCAATTCATAAACACAGTATGTTGTGAAATGTTTGCATTTTTCAAAGCCAAAAACAAATTACCTCAACACTAGGATTTGACATGGGATTTGATATGTATTTAAATGTAACTAATAACGCAAGCGAGTCTGAATGGAGGAGGGCTGAGAAGGCGTGACCGGATTTTTTTCAGGCTACGCCCTCTAGTACGTCTGAAAACGTCCCTTTTAGAAAATACTTGCTTATTTCTACTGAAGTTTTATAAACAGTCTGGTTCAGAGAATATATCATTAGCCAAAGAACAAATAAAATTAGCTTGGGGATAATAGAACATCAAGAAAAACACCTAAAAAATAAACAAAAATAGTTCCCAGTCAAGAAAAACTGCTACTTCTTAGAAGTATACTATCCAATATTGCGTTAGAGCATAGTTAGAGTAAACTTTTCAAAAAGATTGTCCAACCTATTATTGCAAAAAGTGGGGGGGGGGGACTATAGCCCCTGCTATCCCAATGGCTGCGCGGTGCCTGAACAGTGGTCGAGGTTTATATCCAATATATCGTTGGTTGAGGAGATTGGTATGAAGTAGAGATGATTAGTTAACATTGTATATGTATGTATATATTGTTAGCTATTGTTTTATATCGAATGAAAATAAATTGACAACAACAAGATGGATAGTCATTTCCACTTATAAGCCTAACGTCAAATGCGAAATGGGCGAAGAAAGTAATAGGCACATGGGACTATATGAAAAGGACTTGCAAGATGTAGTTGGTGGTTAAGTGACAGTGACCTAATCGAATCTACCAGTTGTGTGAATTCATTGAAGAGTCAACTCGATTATATTTGTTGAGGTCATTTTGAAGGTCTTTGTCGCTATATAATAAAAGTTGTATCAAAGAGTCATTTGAAAGATCGGTATATCCAAATGGCTTTATTAAATCAAGGATCCTAGCGAGAAGATTTTGACGTTCAACCTCAAAAGCAGGGCAGAGCAGCAAAAGTGTTCTATAGCCTCAATAACATTATTGTTAAGACACATTGGGTTTATGGAAGCCCTAAAATTGTGCTTGACTTTATGAAAACTTAATTTGCTAAGACCAAGTCTAAGTTGAGTAAGATAGAATAAACCTGTTGGATCGTGAATCCCAAGAGCAGACTTAGCAAGAGGACGAATTTTGGAGATTGACTTTTTTTTAAAGGCAGCAACCGATGATGCAAGGCTAATCCCTTGACCTAGTTCATTCCATTCTGTCAGGTAATGGGGAAAGAAACCAGGCTTGAACTTTTCGATTCTTGCCCCTATTGGTCCAATGATATCCCGATTGACTATCAATTAAAGATCATGGCTCATGTCATTGGCAGCTGAGTTTAGATCTTCTACTACGGTGAACAATGTACTAGCAATAAGCTTGATTTTACACTTCACGCTAGCAGCTAGATCATTAATTTGAACAAGGAAGAGCAGGGGCCCCAGAATAGAATCCTGGGGTACTCCTGCAGAAACATCTTCTCAGAGAGAATCCTTTCCATTTAGAACAGTTCATTATTTTAATTTTGGAGGAAACTTTTATTAAGAAATTGCGTTTAAATCTTGTGAGTTGACTCATGTTTGATTGATGGACACTCCGTTTGTTTGAACATTTACATAATACCATGCTGCGTTCTCTTTGTTTTAGCTTAAAAATGTTTTGCTTCGCTGTGCTGGCTGTATCATGTTTTGTTGTTCTCAACTGAGGAATTGTGTTTGAGAAGTGTCGTTATATTTTCCGAGTTATCTTCAAATTTTATCAACTTTTAGTAAGCAGAAAGAATTCTCCATTACGCCACAGCGTTTTAGATTATAAACCAGGCAGTCATGCCCTACCCTCACAGTGGAAAGTAAAGCCTGCACCCACGCTAGAGACTTTCATGCTTTTCTACTTTTGCCCTACTTACCAGAACATATTTGAAGAGGGCACGAAATAGCAGTAACATAACATACTGAAGAACTTTTCGTTCGACAATTTTCAGGGTATCAACGTCGAATAATGATCGAAAGCAAGCAGAAAACATATATCCAGGTGTTGATTCAAAACAAAGCGAGAGAAAGAAAGACGCTTGAGCACCTTGAAATTTTGCGGTACCCAAAACTTATCAGCAAATATCTGCCTAACTGCCCAACAGCAATTTATTGACTTAAAAACTGAACATAGACGGGCGCCAGGATTTCATAATGGTTATCGCACATCGGTAGGTAAGCAATGCCAGTTTCCTGTAAAAAATGACCCATTTCTGCACTATCTATATTTATTTCTAAACAGTCGTTATTTATATGTAAAAGATATCTTCTAACTCAGTATGCTTATACACTATGAAACTTGTTTTATTTACATTTTTAGTGTAAGTTTATACTATTAGCTCATCATGGCTTTAACAGGGTTATCAAGTACTGCCATATTGTCAGGTAAGATAAAAACATGCGGTGCATATGCATATCAAATTTCGGGGACTGCTACATTTACTGAATCTTTGTATTTTTTACGTCAGAACCGAAATATATGCTTTGAAAATGACAAGAAAACCGGGTTCAACGTTATTTTAGGTGAAGTGTCAAGAGATATAACCAAAAATCTGAATTGGCTCAATGGCCAGATATAATATGAAAACTTAATCGAAATCTAACATCAATTTATAGGAACTTCTAAATCTGTTTTGCAGAGAATTGTGAGCTCAGCTGACAAGGGGTATTCACTTTTTGAGCAAGTGTTGCACATGTTTGACAAATGAGCAGCGGCGAAAGCATTGCAAACAACATGGCCTTCAATATTTAAACCACTTTTGTGACGTCATAAGGCTTCGTTCTATATTAAAAATCCAATCAAACAGAACTTCAAACTACTGGAAATTATTGTAATCTAAAATCTGACGAAAGAAACATTTTAAAAAGTAAACATTTTTACATTTTATAGGACAGTTTGAAGCTTTCAAATTTCTGCGAGACTTGCTAAAAGTTTAGAACAGGTAATGTTAAAGGAGACATGGCAGAATAAGAAAAACATTGACAGGTTAACGCATAAGTCTTGGCCAACCAGGATGATCATTATTGGCTTCATATTTTGTGGAAAAGGACATTTTTAGCAACTTAACTTGCTGTAGCTATTTGAAATTTGGCTCGCTAAAGAATTGTGCAGCAGTGACGTCAATATTTGTTTCAGGCTGTGCAATACTCTGCTCGCGAAATGTATGTTGCGTGCGAAGAGAGACAACCAAGACTCTATACAACCTTTTAAATAATTTTGGTCCCTCTATGCCATTTATATGGTTCACCGTTGATTCAGGAGGTGCTCCATAAATATCTCAAAGTTCATTTCAGACCAAGGTTCCTGTAATTCAGTACGGTTCAGTACGTAAATAAACCAAAAATAAAGAACAAACGATCTGGTGAAACAAAATACCAACCGCGCATACGTATGGCAAGAACACCACTCAGGGATACAATTCAACTGCCCGGCCAGCCAGACTACATTACGTCCGCTGAGTGTGACACCTTTGAACACGAGACTCCATAATGTATTAGGTCACTGTCTCACTGACATTTTCCATTTCTTGCTGCTTACCAACCATGTCTTTTGACTGCGCTACCGATTTCTGGCCTTTATTGGATAGCAGGCTACATAAATTGAGTTGGCAAAAGTCGTTAACTGGTCCAATAATGCTGCAAAGAGGCATGAAGAAAAACGTTGCGTAGAGCCAACTGAACGTCATCAGGGCCATAAGGAAATGGCTTAACTGAATATATACCAGGACAGAGGAGGGTGCCATGACAAGGCCTAGAAGAGAAAATACAGTGGAAAAGTTTTGCTGAGGCCAGTAACTAACACGGCTGAAAGTAACAGTACGCACGTAAATACGGGTTAAAACCTTTCACATGGCAAGAACAGACGAAATTGCAATTTTCCATGAAAACAAGGCGTCAAATACCATTCCCTGTCGCCAAAGAGCCTTTGAATGCTCAGTTACTTCGCATGCTCAGTTCAAAGCATTCAAAGACACCTTGTGATCCTGGTTGTTGGCTCCTAAGCCGTATATTTGTAGAAGTTTTTAAAGCAGTTTGATCGGCATTCCATAAACAAAAACTTTCATATGAATTTGTTTTTAAAGTGCATTTCGTAATGACAGTACGTTACTAAACTTTCCCAGTTCTGAAAACCTGCCGCTTGTAACTGAAAACCAACATGCAACTGTAAAAATTGGTGTCACTATAAATAATAATGTTTGAACGAAATATTTAATCCACTTTATCTAATAAACGGATGTTACAACTACTTGTTTTCAACCAAGAATGTTCTTTCTTTTAAGAAATATAAATCTATAATTATCACAAGTTATCAAGATACTAAACAGTACACAGGGCACAAAAAGGTAAAAATAGCTATCAATCATAATTTACTCACCACTTATGAATGTTGTAATGGCGCCCATAGTGACTGCAGCCCCGATATGTGTAAATGAATACCGAACCCTGTTGATTCGGCACGTTTTGTCCACAGCAGTGCGATATGCAACCCCATAATGCAATGTGAAATCGACAGCTAGGCCAGCAGCAACTGAAAAAATTATCGACTCCATGATGTTTAGCCTCCAACCCGCTAAAACTAAAGTACCAACAGTGACACTTATAACAAAAAGTATTGAGACTACCGTGTATATACTGAGCAAAATGTTGCACGTTGTTAAAAGAACAACACAAAATGCAATGAGAACCGAAATCCCTAAAGATACTGGTGTTCCAGCTGCAAGGCCTTTTTGCAGGTCGTAGAAGTCCAGGTAGGAGTGCCAAAAACATGAACGAAAACTTTCTGGAGCGTTGGCTTTCATTGAATCGAACCACGCTTTAATTTCATTATAGAAGTCGTTGGCCGTGTCAAAAGCTTCCGTAAATTGGTAGCGAGACCCAGCCACTATCAAGATGGCGCGAATATGACCGTCCCTGTTAAACAGAAAGCCGTTGAAACCACGAGACCGGGAAGGGTGTTTGCTTGAGTTGAAATAAGAACGGATACACAACTCTGCTGTTTCTTGTGTAACAGGAAGAGTGTGCCCACAACAAGAAATGGCGTTTGTGCTTGCGTTACATGGTATTGTCAGTGCTTCCAGCATCGTGAGTATGTCAGAACATGCCGCTACATTTCCAGATACAAAAGAGGAGTTCTGCAGTGTCTTACAAAAATGCTTCAACCACAACTGCTCTTCTGGAGAAGTAACAGTGAACTTTTCCTGCAACTTCAAATATCCAAAGTCATCTGGGTTGGTGGTACTAGCCGTGTTGCCATTATTTACTCCAAAAATGAAAAAAATTGGCATGTTGAAGGATTCAACATTGAATTTCGATTTGTAATGCAAGGGGAATTGCTCTATGGAACTGCTGTCTGAAAACATTTGGAAATCTTTAGTTATTGGAAGTCTGAGTTTAGGAGACACAAAAAGAACCAGCAGTCCTCCGACACCAAGAACAGCAAAAAAAATAACGAGAAAGTAACGAAGATGCATCACTACTGCCGGGAGAACCTTGCTGAATATGTCCTGCGAAATTCGTGCAGCAAATGATTTAATTTTTGAACATGAGCTGCCTGACACATTCGACGTTGGTTCGCCTGGTGGGTACGAAAACCAAGAAGGGGCTATCCTGTTCATACATCGACTCAAATGTTTCTCGCTGATTACCACGGCAACTGGAAACCAAGCAACCATCATGAAGTAGTTCATTAATATACTGGTGCCAGCATAGATACCAAAACACCTGAAAAACAAAACAAAGCTCAGGGGGAAATCAGAGCATAAAAATTAATACAATAAATTACATAAAGCTTGGTAATTGTTAGTTCCTTCGAAATATTTTGATCATCAAATCTTTCATAATCATTTTACAAATGAAACTTTACAGTGAGAATGGTATACTGCTTAAGTTACTATTTAATTTCATAAAACTCATATTGAATAGTGTAGCAATTAAATTATTACTATTCAGCCAAAGACATTTTTCGGTATAATATGTACTAATACTCGATGTTACAGGTTACATTGCTCTTAAAAGAATTCCCTTTTTACTAGGGCTATTTTACTCTTCTTCTTTTCTTGGATTCCAAATAACTACTTACACAAGTTACACAAGGTTAACACAAGCTACAGAAGGTTAACACAAGTTACACAAGATAACACAAGTATAATGTGGTGTTTAATTTCTTTCTGCGCATACCGAATGGCGATTATGCTTGAAGAGGAGCCAGCGAAGAAAGCTGCAGCTGTTGTAAAACTCGTCACAAACATAGCCACCAATGCATGCTTTATGGAGTAGGCTGTCCACCTGATCATTGCATCGTCAAAAGATTCATCGCTTTTGTACGGCATGGCGGCCTTAGCTTCACTCCATGCGCCCATGTAAACAAATGCATCATCAGCACCAATACCCACGAGAAAAACGAGAGTCAAAACATTCAGGAAAGGAAAGAAAGAGAGCCTAAATACGATACCATAAAAAAAGTAGGCGAGAACAGCTGCAATTACAATGCAAAAAAAAGTCATCAAACCGATAAACACCGAGCCTGAATACAAAATTATGAGGATGAAAACTATTAAGATTGCGCTAGATAGCAAGGCACCTTCTACAAATAACTTTTTCTCGAAGATTTGGAATTTCAGATTATAAAATTCAAAGGCAGCAACTTGCACTTGGCCTTCAGTTCTTTCATCCAGGTTTTTCAAGTTGGCTTCATACACCGACTTATACAAAGTGTTATCAAATGGTGAATAGAGCCTTTCACTAACAAGGGTCAGTTTCAATCTAGTTGGTTCACTGGCAAACGTAGAATCTGTGAGATATTTAAAAGAATTAAATAAAATGCGAGTATGTTTTGAGCAATTGTGGGGCAAACGGCTGCAAAAAGTAGGATCATTTAAACAGCTTTCGAGTAGACCATCTTTGTAGCTACTTGAGCAATGCATAAGTCGTAACTTGAATCGATTAACGTCACTCTGGGTAAGGTGCATGCAGGATGTCCGATTAGCCAATGCAGCTGCGTAATTGGCTATGCTGTGGCTAGGGCAAGGTAAATTCTGAATACCCCTTGCAACGTTGCTTTTAAAAAACTCATTGGATCGCATTATCTGATTCTGCAGTTGACAAAGGCTTTTCAGCTTATTTGCATCAAAAAGATCGCCATTTGTTTTCTCCTCGTAGATTATTTTGTTTCCCTCCACATCACCGACAATGTTCGTTAAATAGATACAGGAATTTTCAAGATTTTGCAGTGGTACTGAGGGTGGGCTCCTTTTGCGTCTGCCTCCAGTGTTTTTTTGTGGACTGCTAAAAAGTATTTTCGCATCATAAGCTTTCTTCAGATTGTCATAAGCGTTCTTGTTATTACTCAAGACAGTGTCTCGGGGCTCGAATCCCTGTTAAAAGACGAAATTGACCAATGTGAAAACTGAAGATCTCCAAGCAACAACAAGAAAACTGTACGCAACAAAACATAGTAAGATTTTAAAAAGATTTTCTTTAAAAGATACAATATCGAAACATAATGGTCTGGGTGAATCACTAAAAACTTCAAATTTACCATAGTTATGTAATTTTTTAGATGATAGAACTGTCTTCCACAAAAACAGTTTTATGTAGTTACCACAAGAAAACTGAGTTACCTTTGTTGGCTGTGAGAAGTTCGGAAGGTCTTGAGCTCCTAGTTGTGGAACAAAGCCAATGACCGCAGCCCAAATAAACATCAGCAGAACAACAATAATGTTAACATATGGATACTTGACAAGAAACTTCGCATACCTGGGAAGAAGAAGGAAATTTTGTTGCTTAATATTAATATAAACATTAGGCAGCTTCCTTTTGCAAGCATGATCTGAAAAAGCACAAATTAACGGATCACGCATAATGATTTGATTAAGATAATTTTATGAAACTAACATAAAAACTTTACTTACATAAATATTAATTAGCAGCCTACTGCATCTACTTTTATTTCAAGAAAGATTTCCACTGTAGAGACCTTATGGTTCATATTGAAGACAAATTAAGTAATATCATTCTTCTGTAACACAGCTACTTGTAAAGAAAACAAAAGACGGAATGCTTCCTCAAAAGCAAAGGGCAGCGGCGCAGGGGCTTGAGCAAATTTTTAAAAATGGGGGCACCGAAGATTGAACTTTATACATCAATGTTGTTCTTAAAGGACGGTAATAGGCCAGGCGGAGAATGGGCGTAGGGTTTCTCTTCGGGAAACGAAAGCAATCAAATGTTACAAAGTTTTGTATGTTCTAGGTCCGTTGACCTTCATTTTATCGAGGACCTAAATGAAAATACTTCGTACTTCTTACCGGGTTCTGTGTAATGAAACTTAGATTTAGAAGATCACTAAGATAATGCACAAGATTCTCCTAAATTTCTTTCTTCGACTTTAACTTCAACTGACCTTCCATTTTGACCAACTACTCTGACACTAGCACAAGGATGTTTATCTAGCCCATTTATTTTTGCTCCATTTTAAAATGAGTTAGACAAATCTATAGGAAATACCTCGGTAGGCTTCAATATGGGCACTGGAAATAGAAAAATTAGTAAACTGCTATACCTTGAAGATTTCAATTTAGAAGAAATATTCTTGTCTCGAAGAAATATTCTTGACGAAATTCTAATTCATCTAATACGTATTTTGAGAAAGACACCAGCCATGGTCAAAGAGATTAGGCCTTTTCCAATCGGTCGTGTTTAGTTCGCTATTTTTGTATTCCTTTCTCTACATATGATCCATCATTATGCTTATCATCGAATTCACCATTCGCATTTGATCCGCAAGGTTTTCCCTCAAATCTTCTCCATCAAATCTTCTCCGTCAAAGTAAAGGAGGCGTCTCTTATATTTGAGCACATTCTACAGTATATATCTCCAAAGAGATATCTAACATTTTTCTCGGTTTTTCTCCTGTGATGGTTTCGATGACTCTATGAGAGTATCTTTTCTTGGTGACATCAAACCAACTCTGTCTGGCCTCAGAAACGGCTTTCCTGCGTCGCTTAGTAGTAAACCTGACAACCATCGTGCGGATCTTTCTAATATTCACAAATATCGGCCGTCCAACTCTTTGTGTTCGGCGAATGACTCTGCATAGTCAATGCAAAGGCACAGTCGCCTATGATACCGCTCTTGATCATCCAGGTCTTTCTCCAGTTTTCAAATTTACCTCTCCTTCACCTTCGCCTCGTTTTGCTGTATTATTATAACATAAAGACCCTTTGTGCGAACCTTTGTTTTCATAGCTCCGTTTATAAACAAGAAAATAGCTGCAAAAACTAACAAATTGCCTAATCTCAATTTTTTTCCTCGGATTTCTGTATTTCAATGGGTAAATATTGATTTTCCGAGATGGGCCATCGCGAATTATTTTTATATTGCACGTGATTCGTGAAGCCATAATGCACAAAATAATTCAACAAGAAAGCTAAAATTTCTTCTACCAAAGGTCTTATAACAATAATAATTATATATTCGGATAGCTCTAATGAGGAGCTTTCATTGGATGCAAGACAAATTCTATTTTGCTGATATCAGCAAATTGACCGATGACGTCGCCAAATCAAAATAGGCCTTTTACCCTCACTGTTTCGAAACTTCTCATTCTTGGACTGTCAACTGTACTTTCTTAAGATATTCTATCACTCTCTGATAGAGAAACACGCCCATTGAGTAGGTATACCTAACATTGGTTTACATAGCTCATTAATTAACGTATGTATGATGACGTCATAAACATAAATTTCTTAAAATGATATAGATAAAATTGTTTTTTACTTCTGAAAATTACGCTATCTTGTTTTGTATATTTCTAGTGAGGTCGTGGAGCGTTCAATTCTAGGTCAACTGAGAAAAAAATGGTAGAAAAGCGAATTTTCCACCATCCAGTGCAGAATTTTTTCCTCTATAACATACTCAAAATCGCCCAAAATCGACCGTGGGAAAAAAATTTTATTGAGGTTTATATGATATACGAGGCCACATTCGATAATCAAGTACTTGTCGCGCAACTGAGGGATCTGTTCAAAAAAGCAAGAAATCTGTTTTTTTTTTAATTTTTAAGGAAAAATTCTCGTATTCAAGGCCTGAAAAATGAATAAGAGGACTAATAAAGGAAGTAGTCAGTTTTTCTGATTTCTCTAAATACATGTGCAGGAATTTTATAATAGACAGGCAGTTTTTGAATGCCAAAATACAAAATTCGTTAACGCACCTTGAATGTGGGACATTTATCATTATTTTAGGATACATAAAGTTATTCAATGCCTTAGCAATTTACTTGGGGGAGGGGCTATTGGGGACATGCCAGCAAAATGTGTAATGTCCTTTTGTGATTTGGCAACTAGGGGCAGTTCCCCCTCCCTTACCGAGTTGAAGCAAGTCTGACGCCCTTTTTGGAAGATTGTGCGCCCCTTTGAAGAATCAGAATCGGGTGAAAAAGTGTCTGAGACTTATAGGTTAATTTACTTCAAGGATTACCTAAAAGTAAACAACAATTTTTGTGAAAACTTCCTTAAAATGTGAAAAAAGAATATAGGGTTTGAAATTGTTTTATACCGCGTACACTCGTCCCCACTTTCTGAATATTCTTCAGCGTCCCCACTACCCACTGCCCCTCCTTCAAATTTGCTCTGGAACCGCCCCTGGCAGAATCGCTGAGCAATTTGGTAGACTAAAACTTTGTGATATGCAAGCTAGTTTTTAAAAAATAGAAAGGCAGTACACGTTATGAAAAAGGTGCCTAAAACATCAAAAAGCACAGTGAAAGACACGTAAAACTTGATTTAAACAATTATTCAACAAAGAAAGTTAAAAGAACCCCAATTGGTATAGTTTTAGTTCATCAAAACTGTCGTCGAGTCTTTCTTAACCCAAGAAAGGCACCTCGAAAAAGTTAAGATGTTAGCGCAACACCTTGTTCTAAAAGACTGGAATCAAGTTTTACCGAGTTTAGTTGAAAAAAATATTGCTTCCTGTGTGGTAATGCTGCTACAAATGACTATATAACAATGATGCATCATTCCAGGTAAGGCTTTCTCCCGTTAAGGCCCTATGATGCCATAAGTTGACTCACTTTTATTTGCCTCGTAACACTGCATTCATACCTATTTTGTATAAAGAAACCCGAGGCCATAGATTTGCAGGAAGGTTTTAGAAAAGATGGACATTTTTAACCACATTGGAAAGAACAGTGATTTGATAAAAGTAGCAAACAGATTTTTCCGTCAAGCAGAGAATCGAAGTAATTTGAAAACACCAATGGTATTTACAGAAGAAGATAAAAAATGGAGGATAACGAGTGATGAGGCTTAAGAGATTTTTCGTTGCAGTCACGAACAAGCTGATACGCGAATTGTTCTGCATGCTTGTCTTAAAGATACCGATGTTGTAATTTCATCCAAAGATACTGATGTTCTGATATTGCTAGTTCATTCGCTTAGAATTATTAAACCCAAAATGATGGAAATTGATCAAAGTAAACATGTTGAGATCAGGAATGTATGCATGTACTTAGGTGAAGATATATGCCTAAAGCTACAAAAAAATTCACGCTGTTACTGGACACGACACGACGTCGTTCTTCTTTGGCGAGACAGCAGTTATAACTCTGATTTCAATAGTGATGTTAACATAAAGAAAATACAAACTTCTAGAAGTAAAATGGATATCATATTTTTTGGCGATTCATCTATCAGTGAAAGTGATAGTGACAGTGGGAATGGCGCCTGGCTTTCATAAACCGTTAATTACTACAAAAGTATTTTGTTATGTTTAATATATTGATGTTATGCTTTGCTTTAGACTTTAGCTTCTATAGAGTGATTTGAAGAAGCCTCCTATCGAAATATATACCGTTTCTGACCTTTTATTACCGTATAGAGAAATTTGTATATGACGTCATCAAAGAAACGTCAATCAAAGAGATATGCAAAGAAATTCTAGGTATACCTATCCAATGGAATTGTTGCTCTATCGGTGAGAGAACATCTTAAGAAAGGACAATTATCAGTCAAAGAATAGGAAATCTGCGAAACAGTGGGGGTACAAGGCTTATTTTGGTTTAATGAAGTAATCAATCAATTTGCTGATTTAAGCAAAATAGAATTTCTTGTCCATGAAATGAAAGCTCTTCCTTAGAGCTATCCGAATATATAATTATTATTGTTTTAAGACTTTTGATAGAAGAAATTTTAGCTTTCTTGTTGAATTATTTTTTGCATTATGGCGTCACGAATCACGTGCAATTTAAAAATAATTTGCGATGGCCCATCTCGAAAAATCAATCTTAAGCCATTGAAATACAGAAATCCGAAGAAAAAATTGACATTAGGCAATTTGTTAGTTTTTTGCAGCTATTTTCCTGTCTATTAACTCGGCGAACTTACTATCAAAATATCTTTGACATTTCGCTATAAACTTCCCGCAATATATTTTAAGTAATCCGTCTAATAACGACCAATAATTTCAAAAAATGAACATACAAAGATTATCAATGAGCTAACGTCATGTTCGACAGGTGCATCTCGACATTTACACTTCTCCTCAAAACACCAAACACATTGTAGCTCACTAGCTAAAGGAACCTCACTTTTCCTTCCCACTTTATCACGAGAAAAGAAAATAAATTGTAGTAGTCACGCTCGAAATACCCTTGGTTGAAACTTTAGACGCTGCAATCAAATTGATATGTTGATGAGCCAAGAAGAATGGAATGCTTAATAGCAGTGTGAATAATTATTAAACATTAATTTGAAAAAAAGAAATCTATTAACCATTAAAATGGATGCAGTCTACTTGTCTCATCTGATACAAGAGTAAAGTAAAGACTGATTTGTAGAAGAGCAATTTTGCTTAATGGTAATATGCAAGTAATATGTTTGTTTCAAACTGTTTCTCTGAGCTGTGAAGAGCGGGCGGGGGCGGTAATACTTACCCCACGCCCCCCTCAACACCCTACACACTCTGTTGAAATTGTTCAAACTCTATTCAAACACTTGTTGGCAAAGTTTCGAAAAGTAGAGTTCTGTTGGGTTTTTCTTTCATAGTTCCAAAAGCAATAGCTTTAGCAAGCAGTAGGCAAGTGTCCCCCAAAATTTCAAATGATTCCCTGTCGGCAGCCGGAGTCTAGAACCTAGCAGACAACTGTCGGTATATCCAGGGCCACTTAATTTCCACCTTGATCGGATGCAATCCAATAACACCTTCGAACCAGAGAGATTTAGCTTTAATGATAAAGGGACTTACAGAAATATCAGATTCAAGGATTGTCATACCCTTGAACAGAACACGATCTTTGAGCTTCAATAATTTATGGATGCCCCCTCGATAGATTTCTGTCTGGGACAAGGAATTGCAGATTACCAACACATAGAGTTTATTGATGCATATCACAGAATGATTATTACCTTTCTGCTTTTTCAACTTTCATTTCCGTTTTTTTAGCTTAAAAATGTTCTATCATAAAAAGAAAACTCACGAAAGGAGAACAGATCTTGATATATGCAAAAGGCCTTTAATGGATATTCACTATTTTAATTTTTGAAGACGATATGGAAAGAATGGGATGTTTTTGTTTCCTGAGTGACAGGTTGAGTACCAGCGGAGGATGTGAAGTTGCAGTGACAGCAAGAGCAAGAAGTGGATGAGAAAAATTCGGAGAGTGCAGTTAATTGCTTCTTGAAAGTAGGTTTTCTCTGAAGATAAAAGGAAGGATTTATAAAGACCTGTGTAAGATAAGTTATGTTATATGGTGGTGAAACATGGCGCTCAAGAGAAAACGAGATGGAAATTTTAAGAAGGGCGGAGAGAGCCATGGTGAGGATGATACGTTGGGTGAAACTGATGGATAAGAAGAACACAGACAAACTGATAGACATATTGGGCTGGAAAGAAATGGTGGATAAGGTGGCGAAAGCAAATGGAGTGTTATGGTATGTCTTGAGGAAACAAGAAGATGACGTTCTAAGAAAGGCGCTATCTTTTGTTGACGGTCCGAGAAAGAGAGAAAGATTCCAAAAGACTTTGAAAAAGCAAGTGGGAGAAGAAGTGAAGAAATATTATTTACAGAAAGGAGATGCTTAACATCGAGAGAAATGGTCCACAAGAATGAAAGGAATTCCTTCAGGGCATAAGTAAATCCGGCCACCTGCTTTAAACTTGTCAAAACCGGATCAAAACTGGATTGATGACCAATGATGAGTGTGAAAATGAGCCTCTGCATTGGGTATTTTCAGAGTATTTGGAGGTACAAGAGTATTTTGAGCAATGAAAATCAATGAAAGCTTTTGATCAAAAATTTGAAAATGTAAACGTAAAATTTGAAAGCAATGCAGCATTTAACATTTTGCAAAATATGCCAAAATTGAATAAAATCTTGTAGAAAAATTTTATAGTGACAACTTATCAACCAGTTTGCAGAGTAGGGCAGATTATAACAATATATTTGGTGAGCCAACAGAACAGTCATCAAGTGCGGGTGTAGAAAGTCATTGAAAACTTTGCAAGACCCTTTAATGTCCGCATTGAAATAGGAAAAAACTATGGATCGTAGTTACAAAAAAACTTTAAGAATATTTCCTTGGATTTTCTCCCACCAAATTCTATTTCAGTTGCAGTTTCTGGCCAACCTTATATTAACATAATCTAAAAAATTTCTGGCTGCCAACCATGGTGATGGCCTTTAATAACTACAAACACATTTTGGCCCTTTTTTACAACATTTTTCGCTGTCCCTGGATCAAACTTCAAGTCAACCTGATGAATATTAATGTCCTAAATTAAAAAATGTTCAGTGGGGCAAAGAACAGTCTTCTGGCTCAACCTGGTACCAAAAAACCCAAAGTTTAAAAAGTTACGTAGCTTTGTTGATAAAAACTATTTCTATGGGCTGATATGATGATATGACGAAATAATAGGACTTTTATCTAATCTCAAATTTAGCCTGGTCAGTATGAGACCTGGACTTAAATTTGAATAGCTTTGTAAAAGTTGAAAACTCAATGGACCCCGAATAAAATCCACATTTTTTCTGGCCTGGTACTCAAAGTACACTAGGGTATCAAAAGTATTGCACCACCTTGTTCAAAATGGCTGCACTTTTTGTAAACTTTTCGGCAATACAAAACATTTAAATGCAAGAGTTGGGTGAAATAGGCATATTTTGTAGCAAATTTCGGTGGGAAAAAGTTACACCATAGAAAATTTAGTTAGAAATGTTTAAATTAAGCAAAGACATTTTTGTTTGTAAAAATGTAGACCATGCCTAAGGAAGCCAAATTGTCAAATGAGGGGCGAGTCGCTATAAAATATTTACAGGAAAGTGGTCTTCAGTTTTCAAAAAAAAGATCAAGATAGATGCAGTCACACAACAGCTGCAGGAAATTAAAAGAGATTTCTCTAGAGTGTTACAGTAGTAAAGAAACCGAGAAGTGGGCGACTGAAAATACATAGATGTTAGAAGGGAACAAATTTGTCGGTTTTATTTCACTGTGTTTGCACCTAAGGGCAGTAAAAGACATGAAACTCGAAACTGGGCAGGATTTTGCAGCTCAAAATCTGTCCACAGAAAATATAATGAGTGTTTTGAAAAAATACAAAAGAAAAATTTAACCTGAGTAAACAGAAACTATTTTTACAAAGAATTATTCCCAAACAAAAGAAATTAAAGCTTTGACATAGTCAGAGTAAAGTCCAATTTTCCCTTAAAAGGTTTGACTTCAAATGAAAAAGGTTACAAACTGTGATCCAAAAGGTGGTCCAAAGACCAGAGAATCATTAATTGTAAGAGGTTTCAAGGCCTAATACGAAATTCCACAAGAATACCTTGGCCAAATGTATGGATCCATTTCAAGGAGGCTTTTTGCGGTTTCAAAAGTTTGTGGCTACCCATCAAATTATTGAAATTTGAAAATATTGAAAGACATTTTCTACTGTTATTTTTAAAACAAATGCTCTAAATAGATTGGCGTTTTGATTGTAGTTGTTTTGCTTTCAACCAATTGTCATTTGCCACTTAAAAACAGAATTAATTTGCATAACAGTCGCTTTCTATCATTCTTGCGCCATTTCTACGCCTTCGAGGTGGTGCAATACTTTTGATACCCTAGTGTACTTAAGAACCCTTGACTTAGATCAATGACATTATGTTTTCAAACAAAAGTATATTAGTTAATGTCTAATTCTTTATTATTTTGAGGCTTTAGACTGGTGCGGTTACCACAAAATCTCAAGATAGTATACAATATAATCTACTAAGACTGCAATTAAACAGAAGGGGTTCAAAAATTTAAGCTGACATTAGTAAATTTATCCAAGAACCACAAATACAACAATATTGAACCTTAAAGACAGCCATTGAGACAAAGATAGATTGTCAACAATCAAAAAATGCTGGAGAGGGTCCCTTCCATGTTCAACCTTGGAGCATGCCTTAATTTGATTTTAATTAAAAAATCCCTACTCCGGGACCTGGCACTAGGCACCCTCCTAATAATTTTATCTAGCCCTGAGGTTTTGCTGTCTGACTGGATGTCTGTTAAATGAGCAGCTAGACAATTATTTATTCTTATAAAATGGGTTGGAAATTGAAAAACTTAACTTTTTTCAAAATTGTACAAACAGAAGCTACATTACTAGTAATATTTCAATAGAAATCCAAATTGTTGAAGCAGTTCTTTCATTATAGTGTTCTCAACATTTTTCACCTTGTTTCAAAATATCACTAAATAAAGCATTTTCTTCGTTTTATTTGATTTCTGTTACTATATAACAACTTTCTTTTAGAAAACTAAAACTATAACATTATAGCATCTGCTTTGATTTAGCAGTCCTTTGACCTAAGGCTGAGCTCCAAAGCAAACCATGTCTTTTAAACCTTAGTATAGATATGAGAAATTCATAACCAGTACCATACAGGGCCTTCCAGCTGCCATCTATAAACAAATTTTTCCATGACAACAGATTGTAATAAACCATTCATTCTTTGATTATTATTAATTGTTGATAGCGCTCTTAGAGATGCTTCTGTGATGCTACTTTGATGTCGAGAAAGTTTGGATTTGTCGTTATTGTAATTAAGACCTTTGATGTGAGTAACTCTTCTTTTGAAATAGTAAAGAAGCACACAACCCAAAGACCACAAAAAATGATGAGAACAACTCCATTTTACTGACCAGTTTGATCTTTGCCTAATGTTTATTCTTTTCGATCTAATGTTAATCTAAAGAGGAAAAGGCAAATGGTCACTGTACCTCGTCGTAACTTTATCCAAAATTGGATCTACTGTATTGTCCTCCTTTTCTCCTTCATGAATTTCAACAACATCGTCCAATTCGCTACCTCTCTCTTGGCAATTTGAGCTGCCTAAATTCTCCATTATTGCACCTGCGAATTCTCCATTAACCATGGAGACAGCAACAATCTCAACACTGAACTGAAAGTCATATGTTTGTCTGTCTCGTTTAAGTAGGAAGAAATTCTGCCATTCCTTGTGACCTTGTGACCGTGCGCCTGATAAAATAAACGGGGGGGGGGGGGGGGGGGGGATGGCCAAGTCCTAAATTTTAACCTTTAGCGACGCGATGAGAAGAAAAGGGGTGCCAACGGACAGAACAGACTCTTGGCCTCCTCACTCTCCATCCAACTGAGTCATTTTTACTACGAAAAATTCGTGAAGAAATTTCGGAAAAATATTTTGACGGAATGTTCTTCAATGAAGTTGAAAATGAGACGGAAATTGGTCACTAAAAAATTGTTTGCATTTAAAATTTTTGAGATTTCTCTTTGAGAATTTTGAGAATTTTGAGAATTTGAGAATTTCAAAGAAAAACTATTCGCACATAAGGTCGAAAGCTAAAAATATGTATCCTTTTAATCAATTCAATGCTAATTACGTCGTTATTCTCGTTTATATCGTCTTTATAATTATTTTTATTGCCTCGACGAAACAAAGGTACTCATCATTATGTCTAGTACATGACTCCATTGTCGGCATGTGACACAGCGCGCGTGATGTCACAAACACCATGGTTTTATTCCTTGAATGCTAATACCGTAATTCCTCGAACAAGCGCTCCCCTCAAACAATAGCCCCCCTCCTCGAATAAGCGCCCAGCCTAGAGGTGAAGTTATTGAATAAGCGCCCCCGTCGAATAATCGCCCACCCCTTGGATAAGCGCCCATCCTTCAACCTTCAAAAACGGTGCTTATTCGAATTTTCAACGAAAGTATAACACAATTTGCACCAAAATCTACTTCTTAAATAAGCGCTCCCTTGATTGAGCGCCTACCTTGAATAAGCGCCCACCAGTGGCGTCGTGACCGGGGGGTGTCACACCTCCCCCCCCCTAATAGTATCTCGATAGCAAATTCCAGGTAAAATCCGCCCAGTCGAAAAACGCTTTAGGTATTTCAGCGATCTTCATGTATTAACATCAATAAAGGATCAAGAAAAGATAGTTGCTTCTTTGGCTAAATATGATACTTCTTGATATGAAGGAAGATAAAAAAAACCAATGACTTGAAGATTTCTTGTTGGCACAAAAGCTAAAAATCCAGCCACTCTTTAGGTAAAATTGTGTTTTGTGTCCATTTCCCCTAAAAAGGCATGCTAAGATGGAAAGAGGGATCTAAATTGGCAACCAGTGCTGCTTGTTACCTAGCTTTAGAAGTAACTGACAACATAGGATTTTTCAAACCACGGCGAAATTGTACCAGTTGTTTTTATTTGATGTTCAATTTGTTTGCTAAAATAGAAGAATTTTATTATCATTAATAGGACTAGGAGGATTGCTTTAGTAAAATTTGCTTAAAAGAGTGCATTTTCCAGGGAACTGGAAGCATCAAAATTCGAAAATTTTCTGCTCCTTCGGCGGCAACCATGAGTAGTTGCCCGTCCCGGTATACAGATTTTGTAAAACCATTAGGAAAGTCCGTTATTATCATTTTAAAATGAATGTTTTGAATTATATGCCACACAGTTAGATTGGCAAAGTGTATTGCAGAGGTTTGTGACAGTAACTTAGGAATTTCAGGTAATTATTTTGCAATCAGGTAAATTTGTAGTCCACACACCCCCAACAAGGCTTGCCTCGCGACGGCCCTGGCGCCCACCCTGGAGCCTCAAAATTAAATAAGCGCCCGGGCGCTTATTCGAGGCATTACAGTACCGCAAAAACTGGACAGTTCAGTTTAATGAAATGTAGGAAAGATAGGTGCCACTAATCTTAGAGTCACAAGAACGCAGTTCGAGAAAACTATCAGAGTAGCTGACTTTGCTCCGCGCACAGCATATGGTGACCCGATTTGTCAACGTCTAAAACTCTTGAACTTTGACAAACTCTGCAAACTTGAAGCAGCAAAATTCTTTTTTCAAATGAGTAAAGAAACTAGTTACACTACCTTAGGATAAGAGTTTTTGATGACAAAAAACTTTCATCGCTACAATAAAAGACAGTCCAGACTAAGACAACCTATGCAGAAGCATAACAACACAAGAATATGGAAACTATCAAAATTCTAAATAAACAGCAACGTCCGTCCTAGATTTGCCCCCTTTGATACTTACAGCATGCGGAAGACGGGGCGTATATTTTGCTGACTCATTGTCGGCCTCTGCACATAATAGTCGGTCGAGTGGCGATTCCATGCATTTATCTAGTCCGTATTTTCTGAATCCAGAAACTTGTTTGTCCTTCGAGAGCCTTGTCTGACCTATGTTATACTACTCTTTAACTACAGTGCAACTAAGTATATATAAAATAACTCACGGCCCTTTTCAACTCGACTTGTGGCAGAGAGGAACAGAGAGACAATTACTTCTTTCGTCAGCAGTTTGAACAAAACAGCAAGATGCTTCCCCCAAAAAGCCTCTCTTTTAAAACTACTACAGCGTATTTATAGATACAAGCATTTTACAAGTATTAAGAACAACCAATCAGCTAAAAACACGTAAGACCTAAAACCAAAAGAAACATCGATAATTAATAGCGAAGTGAAAGATAGCCTACAATGGTTCGAGTTTAAAGTGTCAAAGTTCAAAAATTAACATCGCTCGATTTGGTGTACAACACCTATGCAAACGTCTTGTAAGCCACTCAGAGTGTACTTAACCTCTGCAATCTTTGGCTGTGCAGCAGTACAGCCAACCAATTGGAATCAGAGTTAACCTGTGCAATTGTTTACAGTGGACCTATGGAATTATTTGTTGCAACCAATGAAATGGAAATTGACAATCACTGCTTCACCCCTGCGAAGGAACTTCTAGCTGAGTCAGTCCAGCTTGAAATGAGTGTTCTGTAGTGCTGTGATAAGGCCTCTGCGTTCGGAATTTGGTTGATCCTGGTTCGATCCTACTGGGGACGGGCAACGTAAAGGCTTCTTCTTCTCTTTGCGAGTTGTTTCCCTAGAATTCCTTTTAGGAACCCCCTATCAATTATCAGTGATAATTATTTTATCCAGAAATATTTGGGCGTTTCCAACACAAAAGGGCGTGGCCTCTCTTTCTGACAACGTACGCATAGGTCAGAATTCAAAATATTTGTCTAGAAGTACGTTGAATAACTTACAAAGTTTATAAATATATATAAATATAAATATAAATTTGTCTTTTGATACTTCCGTAGCACAGTGCTCAATACGTTAGCACGTAGAGCGTGATATATCATAGAGTTCAAGAAAATAAGACTACATGGTTTATCTCTACAAGCCTGTTTCGTGAGTAACTCACTCTTCAGGAGAATCACGTCTTATCCTGTTTTACAAAATCGTAAGCAACATGGCCCCTGAGTACACAAGGGATCCTATTCCAGTACTCAATGAACCTAGATATTTCCTTAGAAACCAACCTGTAATAGGGCAAATAAGGGCAAATAAGGGCAAATAAGGGCAAATAAGGGCAAATAAGGGCAAATAAGGGCAAATAAGGGCAAATAAGGGCAAATAAGGGCAAATAAGGGCAAATAAGGGCAAATAAGGGCAAATAAGGGCAAATAAGGGCAAATAAGGGAAAATAAGGGCAAATAAGGGAAAATAAGGGCAAATAAGGGCAAATAAATGCAAATAAGGGCAAATAAGGGCAAATAAGGGCAAATAAGAGCAAATAAGAGCAAATAAGGGCAAATAAGGGCAAATAAGGGCAAATAAGGGCAAATAAGGGCAAATAAGGGCAAATAAGGGCTAATAAGGGCAAATGAGGGCAAATAAGGGCAAATAAGGGCAAATAAGGGCAAATAAGGGCTAATAAGGGCAAATGAGGGCAAATAAGGGCAAATAAGGGCAAATAAGGGCAAATAAGGGCTAATAAGGGCAAATGAGGGCAAATAAGGGCAAATAAGGGCAAGAACTGAAAAATTTAAAATTAGTTTTTACCCAAACTCCTTGCTTGAATGGAATGAATCTGATCCCGAAATAAGAGAACCTCTCTCCGTTTCACATTTTTACGAAGAAATTAGGCTCACAAATCAGGCCTCCACAAAACTCCGTATATGTTATCCACAATCCAAAAGGTGTTGCATATTTAACCCAATTAAGGGTGGGACTAAACAAGCTAAATTTCCATAAATTCAAGCTTAATTTTAACGATACAATAAACCCCTTATGTCCAACAAACGACGGCATAGAGGATATGGAAGACTTTATGCTACTCTGCCATTCCTTTAATGAACTTAGAAGAAGTCTCCTCGCTTGTGTCAAAAATGTACTCGAAGCCTATGGTAAACCTAAGGCTCTATCTAGATGACAATATATTGAAAATCCTTTGATATGAAATGAAGATTTGCCCTTGGAAGCTAACAAGTAAACTTTAAATCTCACAATCAACAGGGGTGGCGCTAGAGACAAACCTTCAAGGTGCCGAAGTTTATATTCTCAGTAACTGCCGACACTGGATGTGTCAAATTGCCGACAGAAAAAAAAATCGATTTGCCCCATATAGCAGGCAGGGCCATCGCGAGGCAAGCCTCGTTGGGAGGGTGGGGTGTGGGATGCAAATTTACCTGATTAAAAAATTCTTGCCTGAAACTTTTAGCTGGTGTCACAAACCATTGCAATAGATTTTGTCAATCTAACTCTGTATGATAATAACCGACTTTCCTAATAGTCTTGTCAAATCTCTATATCGGGACGGGCAAAATATATAGTTACTACCTGAGGCGGCACCATGGTTGCCGCCGAAGGGGCAGGAAATTTTCGAATTGTGATGCTTCTAGTTCCCTGGAAAATGCACTCTTTTAAGCAGATTTCACTAAAGCAATCCTCCTAATCCTATTGAAAATTATTATCTTTTTGCAAAACTTTTTTACAGCAGATAAAAACAACAATTTCGCCGTGGTCTTGAAATTACTTCTAAATTTAGATCCCTCTCTCCATCTTAGCATGCCTTTTGAATGTTAAGGAAAATCTGGAGCTCATAGTGAATTGCAGTTGACGCTTCTACTGAGAAACTTTAGGAGAAATGGACACGAGGTACAATTTTACCTAAGATTGCTTGATCCTTTATTGATTTCATGACAGGAAGATCTCTGAAATACCTAAAGCGTTTCTTCCACCGAGCAGATTTTACCTGAAATTTCCTATTGAGATACTATTGGGGTGGGTGTGACAACCCCCCAGTCGCGACGCCCCTGAGCAGCACCTCCAATGAAGGGGCACCGAGGGGTCATGGCCCCCACTTTTTTACAAAGAAATAGAGCATTTTTCCAAAATCTTATGTTGTGGGTGCAAAATTCTCTCTTGCCCCCTCCCCGCCCCCACTTTCCAACCTGTGTCGGAGTCCACGAGATTTTCTCGGCAATTTGTGCCTTGTAAGAAACTTGCGCAAATATTGCCTATTGTCGAATATTTCTTCCTATCTATGGTGGAAGAAGTTAATGGATGGTTTTCTCTAAACCATTTGTTTGTCGCAAGCTATGCGGTGAACAATGCTATTGAAAAATAGTTGATGAAAAAGGACAAGAAGTGCTTTTTGAAAAATTTATTACGCAAAATGTGCTCATGATCGAAATGTTTTCATTGGCAATAATAATGTCTTGAAACGAAAAGAGAATCCCTTAAGAAGAAAATTCATTAAAGACTTTATTTATGACAGCGTGATTTTGCTGTCGTTAGGGTAACTTTCCTTTAAACGGTCCAAAACATGATCCAAATCAAGCATTTCTGCACGTTTCGCATGAATTCCAAGCAGCAACAGGGATTTCGACCGAGAGGAGCACCATGGTATTGTGGGTCATGCGAGGGAGCACCATGAAATTAAGTCACTGAGCCATTGAGAAAATCATAAACCAGCCAGTCATTCAAACAACATGAAACCGGGTGACATCCATCAAGTGCCGACGGTATTGAGAAAGCAAAAATTGATTGGCTGCTGACGGGGGGGCTAACAAAAATCTAGGGGGGGCTAAAGCCCCCCCTTGCCCCCCCCCATGCCGCCACTCCTGACAATCAAGTATCTTTTTGAAACCAAACCCTTCGATTAAAGTTATCTTCTCATAGACCAAAACCTCCTCTTGAGCCCCGGCCAAACGCTCTCGACATTTCACTCGACAACGCTCAACATTTTGTCGAATCAAATGTTGAGAGCGTTTGGTCACCTTGTCGAGTGTTGTTGAGCCTTGTCGAGCGTTGTCGAAACAATTTTGAACAAGTTCGAAATTGTCGAGTGGTAACGCTCGACATTTCTATTGTTTCAGGTGTTGTCGAAGGTTGTCGAGTGCGTTTGGCCAGGCTCGCGACATTCTGCTCGACTTTTGTGAATAAACGCATGCGCAATATGCAATATCTCAAATTTGCCCGCCAAAGTTGTGTTTATTTTGTTACGTGATATCTTCAGATTTTTGTTTTTTTGTTTCGAATAATTTGAAGATGGAAAGTTTCAGTCAATTCGACCTCACTTACGATGAACGTTCAGATATCTACAAATAAGGACAGATCAATGCTAGCTCTTCAAGCAGCGACGAAGGGGAATTCGAAGGCCTTGATGACTATAAAGCCAAGAAAATATTAATGATGCTAGCAGCAAAAAATAAGACTCGCGAACGAAAAGCCACTTATTCGACAGAACTAAGAGGCGGAAAGAAAGAGAAGAAATCTGCTCCCCAACAAAAAAAGTGGACACATGCAGATATTTTGAAATTGATCGAATTTTATGAAAATAAGCCTTGTCTTTGGGATTTTGGGAAAATAAGCCTTGTTTTCATCCAAGCCCTTGTCTTCCCCCTTTTTGGCTTTTTCTCGTCTTCGAGAATAATCACAATTAGAGCAGCGATAGCTTTACGTTTTCTTTTACTTAGCTTCATGTTTATCAGAATCAGACAGAACAGAAGTGGCGGGTTTTTTCAAGGAGAATCGCGCGCTTGAGGCAAAAGCCTCGTTTGTGAAGAGTCGAGTCAAAAGTCGAGTGAAAGTCGAGAGCGTTTGGCCACCCCTCTTTGAAAGAGCAATACATCGCTCGACATTTGTCGAGCGCTGTTGAGTGAAATGTCGAGAGCGTTTGGCCGGGGCTTTACATCTTTAAGTATTTGTAATTACAAACGTACCTTTTTTCCTCTCTATGTTATGGCCCAGGGTAGCTGAGTTGATTCTCCCCGGGGTATCGCCTTTGTAGTGAATGTAAAGTAACGTGTAGTTAATGTATTACAGTAACGTGTTATGTAACTTTTTGGAATGTATAAAAATTGCTTCATTTACCCGTCAAAGATCCTTAATGTGCCGACGTTTAAATTGTTTGGGGTGCCGACGTTTAAATTGCACCTCTTTAGGCGACGTCCCTGCCTAAAATTAATTGAATTGATGTTTGGGGGCGAGAAGTTCTCGCGTTGGAGATGTTGTTGATGTTGTTGATGTTGTTGTTATTTTCGAAAAGTCACTATTCGTTTCGTGGGTTGCAGGAGTCACCATGTGCGGCAGATTCGCCTGCACGTTAAAGAAAGTAGATATTGCCAAATATGTATCATACACGGAGCAAAGCGAAGTTAAAGAGCCAGCTTGGGTCAAAATCTCAAAATTAGCAACTGATTATTGTCCGTGTGCCAACATTGGCCCTGGATCGTACACCCCTGTTTTGTTTTCTGACAAGAATCTGTGCTCAGTGTCAGCTAAGGAACATAAGAATGATACAATGTTCCTTACACAAATGAAGTGGGGTCTGATTCCATCGTGGCATAAGGGGAACGAGGAGGGTTTCAAGTTCAGAATGATAAATTGCCGTGGAGACTCGTTAAGAGAGAAGGCTTCATTCAGAAAGCCATTTGAATTGGGTCAACGTTGTGTTGTAGTGGCAGAAGGTTTTTATGAGTGGAAATCAGCTGAATACAAAAAGCAACCCTACTTCATAAAGCCTAGTGATAAGCAGCTCCTGGCAATGGCGGCAGTATATGACAAATGGGTTGGCCCTGGGAGTGAAGAGCCATTGTATTCTTATACCATTGTAACAGTGGATGCATCTGAATCAATGAAATATATCCATGACAGAATGCCAGCTATTCTTGAATCCACGGAGGAAATGCAGTTGTGGTTAAGTCTCCCTCCTTCAAAAGCTTTTGAATTGATAAGATCTGTCAATTCTTTACAGTGGCACCCAGTTTCCACCTTTGTGAACAATGTGAAGAATAAGTCGCCTGAATGTCTCAAAGAAATTAAGCCAAGACAAGTTCATGAATCAACTTCAAGTAAACTTATGTGTAACTGGCTCAAAAGAAGTTCAGAAACAAGTATTGAGTCTGAGAGCCAAGCTGGCCCAAAGCAGACCAAACTAATCAAACAGTCCTAGATTTGTATCAAATTTATACACTGAAATGGGGACACATACTTTCAACTGGGGATAAAATGAAATAATTTTAATGTCTATTTGAATAGATGGCTATATTTAACTAAACATAATTTTATTTTGTGCTTATCTACAAATTTGCTCAATAAGGGTGCCTCCATTGATGATTAAGAAGTTTCCAAACATTTTTTGTCTTGTCTTGTAAACTGTCTGTTAGATATGAAAAATAGCTCCCTTAATTGTGAAATAAAAAAAGTGTTTATAAGACAATACTTATTTGATATATAATGTTCATATTTTGTTTTTAGAATACTAAAGTCATGGCAGGTTTTTGCTGACCCTTGTGTATGATGGAACGGCCCTTACCAGTTTGATGCATGCTTGAGCATTGCTGATTATGGCCTGTAGATTGACATTTTGTAATTTGTTTGCATTGTCTATTTCCATTTAAAAGGAAGCTTGTTCATTTGTGCCAGTTCAACAAAGCCTTACACCCTGTTTACATGGATGCCCCCTCAAACATGTTTAAATGAATGCCCCTTCAAACATGTTTAAATGAATGCCCCTTCAAACATGTTTAAATGAATGCCCCTTCAAACACGTCTACATGAATGCCCTTAGAAACAAGTTTATATGAATGCCCCTTCAAACACGTTTACATTAATGCCCTTCCAAAAATGTTCACATGAATGCCCCTTCAAACACGTTTACATTAATGCCCTTCCAAAAATGTTTACATGAATGCCTCTTCAAACACATTTACATGAATGCCCTTTAAAACAAGTTTATATGAATGCCCCTTCAAACACGTTTATATGAATGCCCCTTCAAACACATTTACATGAATGCCCCTTCAAACACGCTTACATGAATGCCCCTTCAAACACAATTACATGAATGCCCTTTGAAACAAGTTTATATGAATGCCCCTTCAAACACGTTTACATGAATGCCCCTTCAAACATGTTTACATGAATGCCCTTTGAAACAAGTTTATATGAATGCCCCTTCAAACACGTTTACGTGAATGCCCCTTGTCTAGTATGTATGTATGTACTTATCTAGATAAAAGTATATACTTATCTAGCTTGGACCATTAATGAAAGGTATAATTAGAAATATGACAAGATAATTTAGCATGTAGATTACATTTTTCTCTTATTCCATAATTCTAAATACTTTGACAAGATTTGTGTTCTTAGTGATTAGGTAAAATTTACTTGTTTGTATCTTTTATAGTCTTTGGGAGATTATTCCATTGTTGTGCTCCTTTATTTTGTAGTATTAAATCACCTCAACGCTTTTCAGTTCACTTTTCTGAAAATCGTATATTTAATGGGTTTCTTATTTATGTTTACAGCTTTTTGTTTTAAAAAGGTTACATTGGGCTTGCAACACATTGTCATTATTGTGTTTTATTCAATGCATCAGCTTGAAGATTTTTAAGTCATACAGATTTCGTATGTGTAAGGAAGTTTGATTCCTCGTGTACAGTGGCGTACCCAGGGGTGGCGCAGTGAAGGGGGTCTGGGGCGCAGCCCCCTGAAAATTTTTTGGACCACGCCCTTCAAACACTCGCAAATGCGGGGAGATGCCCTTTTTGCAAAATATCCCCCCATTATTTGATTCATGTTAGCTTCGGTGAATAGCAAAGTATTTTACAATTGTTATTGACACAAGCAGTGGCGGACTGGCTACCATTCGACCTACCGGGAAAAGCAAGCAAAAGGGCGCCAATAGGTGCTAAAAACTTCGCCTTAGCTCATCAAAAGGTTATATATAAAGTTTTGCAGCATATCTTTGAAAAATTTAAAGAGGTTTAGAAAAAGTACAGTCTCTATTCCGGGTCTTAAATTCTTTCAATTTGAAGAAAGAATGGAATACATAGCTAGTTGTAAATTTGAAACCAGTTTTTTTCCAAACAGCCGGTTTAATTTTCTATTTAATTTTTCAGGAGTTTTATACATGAGGACATCAATCCTCAACAAATTCTGCATAAAATTTTTAAAAATTGTACAAGATTTTTTTTCAGCTAGTCATAATTTCTTTGTGGTACGAAACTCCTGGTTTTAACGTACAAAAAGCAAGATGCCTATGAATTGCAAAATAAAATAGCTTGCCACGGACAACATGTTCAAAATGTGTTATCCTCTATGATACCTAGAGCAGTTTTTCACTATCAAAAAATAGTTGATGGCCCAAAGAAACAGGACTATTATTCAAGAGAAACAACACAAGGAATGTGCACATACTACGCAATCAAAAATCGGCAATATTTGAAAAATCCCCTTCTCCCTAAACAACTATTTTAACAAATTTCAACAAAGTGCCATAATGAACGTAATAGTCAATACATTTGTGTAAGTCCCCCTCTCCTCCCCATCTTTGATTACGTAATATATGAACGTTTCCATACCCAATATTCTTCCCATACCCAACTTATCGATAATTTTAACCATTGTGATTGGAAGGAGCACAGGGTAAGGCTCAGTTAATTTTTCCAAAGTGTGAGTCCTCGGTTATTGGATATCAGGCACTAGGAATAATTTGCATTAGTCATAAGTCAAAAAAATAATATGGTCAGTTATAAGTCATTGGTTTCACAAAAATATTAGTCATCAGTCAGTTGGCAAGCAGTCTGCTAGTTAGCTAATGAAATCTCTTACTACCCCTTCAACAGATATCGAATTAATGTATGGCGTACTTGCTTTAAACAAATACAAGCTAATCAGGTTTTTAGTGAAAGTAGGAATTAGGTGGCTGGCCATATTCTACACCTGTCTATTTCCTTAACAATTCCACTAACGTTAATATCCTGAATTGTGTAAGGCGAGGAATCTCTACGTGTAAAAAGTGATTTTCCAAAGTTGTAATCAAATATCTAAAAAAATTAACAGTATTCAAAAGTTTTAAATCAAGTCCATTTTCCTTGGAGCACAATTCACGACAAGCATTTCCGAATTTAGTTTTTGTAAGGATTGGACTGCTTTAGCATTTTAGTTTCTATTTTATCAGGAATATCTCGAGAACGTAGAGACTTTTCTATACAAATCCCAAAACAAGGGGAAAGTGTTGAATATTCTGTTGAGATAAAAATAAATAAAGTAAAATCTTGGCGTAAAATCCTACCAACAATGATTTTTATCGAATGAAACAAAATTTACCGAAGGACACAGAACTATTGGAAGGGAGTGTGGCACCCCCTACACCCCCCGCTAAATCCGTCCCTGCTCTTCAGAGTATATAACGTCAGAATTAGGGTCTGAAAGAACAAGATGGAAAATAAATACCCATTTGTGGATCGAATTTTCCATCTTGTTCTTTTGGATCATTTTTTGACATTTTATACTCTGAGGAGTTTCAGGCAACAAAGCTATTACGTTTAAAATGTTTCATCTTTTCAAAGTCATTTTCATAACAAAATATGTTTTTTACAAGATTTTCAGAAAATCGTGCAGAATTTGCTGACCAACATTTTGTCTTTTTATTGTTAATTAACAATAGCAAAGATTGGGAAACTTTGCAATTGACCTTAATATGGCTCAACTTAAAGGTGAAGCTAAACTTCTTATGCAAACGTACTTTGGATAGGAGGTCAATTGATGATTGTAATCAATTTTAGTTCTGTGCGAAGATTATTTGCCTTTTGAAAGTTTTCAAGTTTTTGAAAAAATAGCTTGGGGCAGAGGGCGCACCGGGAAATTTCCCGGTGTCCCGGTGGGCCAGTCCGCTTCTGGACACAAGCATACAGTATACTGCACCCCTCAATGAGTTTTACATCGTTTTTGGACAAATCTCGAGGATCATATTTTAGAAAAGTGGGGGGTCCGGACCCCCCTATTCCCCCCCTTGCGTACGCCACTGCTTGTGTAGGGCATCAGTTGAAAAACAATCATCTTTAGAAAGTAAGATCCGTAAATTCTTTTTTGAATCGTCTGAAAATCTTTAAAGTCTATCTGTTTAGACAGAACTTAAGCCTCAATGCGGTAGCTTATTGTTTTAATACACAAGGTTTTCAGGCAGTCTTTAAATATATATTGCCTCAGTTTTGCAAAATGGATGCACATTTAACAATTTTGTTTTTTATTTTGTCGATATGATTTTGCCACGAAAGTTTAGTACCAATTTTGATGCCAAGATATTTGATGTCGTCTGCTTGCTTGAGAGGCTCCGCCATTTTGAGGACAAACGCTTTGGTATTTAGTGGTTTGTGTGATGGCTTGACTATACAATATCCTGTTTTCTCAGGATTTCCAACTAGTTTATTTGCTTTGAACAAATCATGGATTTTTCTTAAATCCATATTTGTTTTTTTAGCCAGGGTACTAGTGCATTTCCCTAAACTGTAAAGGTATCATCCGCTTAGTAGTATCAAAGTCTCAGTTGCATTTGGGTAATCATTGTCATAGAGGGTAACAAGGATTGGTCCTATAACAGATCCATGTGGCAGTCCAGTTTTAATGTGGCTTACCGAGGACATGCTGCCATTTAATGCTGTATACTGAGTTCTGTTTTTTTAGATAATTGGCGAAAATGTTGCCCCGGAGGGAAAGAGCCAGAACAATCGTGCATTTACTGAAGAAAGCATGAAAACTGGCGTGCCTATAGATTTTGACGTGTTGAAAATGATGAGATCGGGACTCCAACTGCAAAGTACCCCAAAGTGCTATTTTTAACTGATGGTACTCGGACCAATTGTTCATCATTTTTCCATGTTCATCATCAGGTACCATCTTCTACCAAAAGGTTGGCTACCATGACCCTCCAACTATCCCTGTCCTCAGAATATCGTTTAGCTCTCCCAATGCTCTCACACCTGCTCCATTCCTTGACATCATCTCCCCATGTTCTTCTTTGTCTTCCCCTGTCTCTTTTTCCGTCAATCATACCTTCCAAAACAAGCCTTGCCAAGAACACGGATGATCCCCTCATAATGTAGCCAGCAAATCTCATTTTTCTTTTTATCATTTCGTTGACTAAAACTCTCTGATGTCCAATTGTTTCTAACACTTCTTTGTTGGTTACTTTTTCAGTCCAGCTTATTTTCGGAATTCTCCTGTAGCACCACATTTCAAAAGCATGAGGTTTTTATTTTATTATTTTGCTGTATGTCCATGCCTCGCTTCCATATCCTACTACTGAGAAGATGTAGGTTTCAAGCAGCCTTAATTTCAAATTGAGGTTGATGTTGCTTCTCAAAAATTACTTAAATTTCCAAAAATTACTTTTTGCTTTCTCTATTCTTCTTCTGACTTCTTCTTCACATTTTCCATTATTAAATATCCAACTTCCTAGATATTTTTATTCTTTTTCTTGTTCTAGTTCTTCGTTTTGTACTTTAATTTCACATTTAATTTGTTCCTTCCTGTCTATTACCATTACTTTTGTTTTCTTTGCATTTAGACTCACTCCACATTCTACACATTTTTGATGGAGCTCATTAGTCATTCTTTGAAGATCTTCTCTACTTTCTGCAATTAGTACAGTATCATCAGCAAACCTGATATTGTTTATATTTTCTCCATTGATGTTTAGCCCTTTTCTGTTGCTTAATGCTTCTTCTATTAGGAACTCGCTGTACAGGTTGAATAGAATTGGTGATAGGATGCAACCCTGTCTAATGCCTCTTTTCATTTCAATTTCTTCATTCTCCCTTTGGTTGATTCTTACACTTGCTTTCTGTTTCCAATGCAAATTAGCAACTAATCTGATGTCATGATTAGGAATTCCCGTTCTTTTCATTATTTCAATCATTATTTCAATTAAGTCTTACTCTTTTCCATATTAAAGACATAAAAAGTTGTAGAAGTGTATAATCAGGCATGTAAACACAATAATATTGACAGCTAAAAATGAATTGACCCCAAATTCCATTTTTAAATGGATTCTAGGTACCAAATCTCCAGGAAAGGTGCTGATTATTTTTCTGTCGTATGCGGCAACAAAATACAAAAACTATTTATATTACAGAGATTATGCTCCTCATAACGATGAAAGCTATCACATCTATTAAATTGCCCTACATACAATCAATTTTTATAAAGGGATACTTGGATCCGGACCTCTACAAACGTTTAAATGTTTCATCAAGCATAATCATTGTTCAAATCATTAATTGGGTGCAACCTCTGGGTGCAAATTGTACCAAGAAAGCTTTTCTGGCATTTGGTATTAGTGCACAGTCCTCTAAAAACTTTCGAAATGCATTTATGCCAACATTCTTCAAATGTGAAAGTAAAGAAATACGCCAGCCTATGCTTCAATTTTCTTTGAAAGAAAAGTTATTTGCACATAGGTTGTTGAAAATGCCTGCATGCTATTGCTAGAAGATGCTTATTGTCTTATCTAATGTCAGCTTTCAGTGAATAATCTAGAACTGTCACACAAAATCGACATTCTAACGAATGACGAGATTAAAATTTAAGTTTCTAATTCTTCGAAGCACTGCCCATTGCACATGCACAATTCTGTACATTCCAAAACAAACTGTCTGCATTTACATGTTGTCGAACATTTCTGCTTGCATCCACATTTGATCAGCTTCTGGCATGCTTTTGAGGCTTCTGTGACAATCATTCATAACGATGACACACTTTCAATCGTCGTATTCCAACTCTATGCTGTAATAGGAGGTAGGTGCTTGATTTTCATTTGATACCAGACAAACCTCTCAAGGAAAGAGTAAACTTTTAGTGGAAAGTGTTTCAATACTGACCCAGCTTGAAAAATCCTCTTGTATGTTGGAGAAGTCACTTGCTGACAGTGTCATTTAATGGTGGCAAACGTTTAGCTGGCTAACCTTTCTTAGTGAACAAAACTGTCTGTGACACTCATTTACATCGTGGAGTTAAGACGTTCTTTGGTATATCGATACAATGAAACGCTCTATCATCATGATATCAATATCCCTTGGCTGGCCATTATCACCATTCGACAGTCTAAAAAATGGGAAAAACTTAAATACCTAGCTAAGGAACACACAACTTTAAATACAAAGTCTGATGATTAATTGTACAGGAAGACTTTTTCAGCAATTCCAAAAGCTGCTATCATTGTTATTTGCTCTGAAGTTCCCCTGTATCTCTGTGGCTATAGCCAAGAAACTGTACTATCAAATAGGAATTTAGTTACTACGAAATCTAAATGTTAATCACTTAAAGAACATACCTTACAAACAGGGGCGGACTGGCTGGTCGGGCTATTCGGGCGATCGCCCGAAGGGCCGGTCTGTTTAAGGGCCGGTTGATAAAAGTGCAAAAAAATAAATCAGCTTAAAAAGTGAATGCGAGGCAAAAAGTATACCCACACGTTGATCTGTTTGCCTTGATTTTTCAGAGACTTTGTGGGAAAGGATAAATATACACGCGAGTTTATTTATTGTCAGCGCAGCCCAAACACACTTCTTCAGAAAAAATGTTATTGAAAATTTTTTATATTTTCTTTATATTTCCTTTTTGGCAACATATTATACTGTAACACCCCTGTTTCAATGCGATACATAAGATTTTAACCTGCCTTGATGTCTTTTCACTTAGCTTTTGCTTGAAGCTGGTCATGTTTTTCCCTAAGCACAAGCTATTGCTAAATGTAATAAATTCACTAAGCAATTTGCTCTGTGATGTGAAGCAATGAAGAGGACATACGTAGAACCAGTGGTGTACCCAAGGGGGGGAATAGGGGGGTCCGGACCCCCCACACCAGTGGTGTACCCAAGGGGGGGAATAAGGGGGTCCGGACCCCCCACTTGTGATCTAAAATGTGATCCTCGAGATTTGTCTAAAAACGATGTAAAACTCATTGAGGTGGGGTGGGGGGGGTTTAGTATACTGTAGGCTTGTGTCAATAACAATTGTAAAACACTTTCCTATTTACTGTAGCGAACATGAACCAAATAATGGCGGAAAAGTTTGCAAAAAGGGC